CCCCGCCGGACGCAGCCGACTCAAGGCGGCCGCGGGCGCCCATTGGCTGCGGCGCAGCCGGCTGCCCGCGCCGGACGCGGCCGAAACAACCCGGCCGCACTCACGTCGTCCGAGTGCATGGCGAGAGCGCGCGGCCTAGCGCGCCGCCATCACCGGAAGGGGCGGCGCCACGCGGCGCTCGCGAGAGCGCGGGGGTCTCGCGAGAACGCGGCGGGAGCGAAGGTGGGCGGGCGAAAAGATGGCGGCCGCTCCGCCATGTTGGGGACACGGGGTGAGGGGGGACGAGGTCGTGAAGTGGGGCCAGATAATCGCAAAACGGCAATTAAACCGTCGATTAATGGTATTTTCAGTGCCACAAAGGCAGCCGCCACTTTTAAGAGCTTCCCGTTGGTCACTTGTCATCATCACTAGTGTCTAAGGGTCTAAATCTGGTTTCACCCGTATTTCTACCTGGGTTTCTTTGAATTTCTTAGAATTAATTTATTGAATGATAGAGGAGATGCCCACCCATAAATAGCTTGTAAATGGCACAGCACATCAGGATTTTTTCTTTTTTCTTTCCAATGCTGGGGTGCACATGGAGCACATCAATAGCACAAGCTTTAAAGCATAATAGCTTTATTGGCAGGCTGGTGGCGACAGAAATGGGTGGTTGTTGCAGGCAGGTTTCATGCTGGGGATTAGCGGCATCCCGGAGATTGGAGCCCTCCAAAGCTGCTGCTGGCTTTACGTTAGTCTTCTCCGTTGCTTTTCTTCTAAGAGCAATAAGCGCTTTGAAGATGTTAAGACTTGTCACTGAAACGGCCTGGGAGAGGTGTTGATGTTATCCCTTAAAATGTGCGGAATGTGGCCGGGAAGATGCTCCCCCGGAGGACAGACGGGAAGGACTTTTCCCATCCTTGAAACCTTTGAGCAGCCGAGATGTGGAGAGCTCAGAGACTTGTCCGGAGGTGACACAGCAGATGAGAGGCAGGGCAAACATGTGGAGCTCCCAAATCCTGGCTCTTCTTCCCTTAACGCGGATTACGTGGCCAAGAGAACAGACGAACGACGGGACCAGGATTCCCATGCCCACAAGTTTTGGGAGAGGCTGCGTTGCTATTCCTGAGTGCTAATGTCCACGACTCTGTGCACAGGGCAGCTTCAAAGCAGGGCACACATCTCTGCACTTGCTACTCCGCATTTTCTGCCTCCACATCGCTCTCGTCTGTGAGAGGCAAATCCCGCTGCGGTTTCTGCACTGGGTAGCTCTTGGTTTGCACAGGGCATTCCTGGCTTAAAATTGCCTATGCAAAGGAGAGAGCAAGCCTACTTTAGTAAAAATGGTAGGTAATAATTCATGACATGTGCCGCTCTGAGAGAAATGCAAAGCAGTCAACATTCTTTTTCCCAGGGAATACAACAACCTGTGAGTTAGGGGCAGGACCATAGCTCCAAGCTCTTCTGTGTTTTATTGTCTAAATGCTCTGTCCCCTTGTTAAGGGCAAGTGTAAGTGCAATCCCAGGCACATTTATTCTAGTTACACACACACACACACACACACACACAAAGAAAAACTCCTGTGCTTTAAAGATAAACTCACAATCTTCTCCTCCTTGGTCGGAGGGCTGCGCAGGTACCAGCAAAGCGGAGCATAAGTAATGTTGATGACTCCTATGATGCCCATCAGCCAAGGAAATCCAATAGCTCGGACAATTGCTCCTGCTGTGGATGGACCTGCACGTTTGAGAATGAAAAAGAGCTGAGATGGCAGAGAGCAAAAGGAGCCTTTCCAGTCTGGAGGGGCTCTGTAGATCTGTGATCCCTGCGTTGGGATCGATCCCTCGGGGCTCGAGGCTTCCTGAGGACACTGGGTGCAGAAGAGGGAGGGATGGGTCGTGTGAATACCCCGTGTGCACCCTGGTAGGGGTGGGAGTTAGTCCGTACCGAGAGCGAAGCCCAGGCAGAAGGCGACGTCGGCTATGGCGTAGACGCTGCCGTAGGCGGCGGCGTGGCGGAGGTCCACCAGGGAGGCCATGGTGGGCATCATGGAGGAGTCCACCATGCCTGTCCCAAGCGGGAACAGCCTCCTCAGGCACTGCCTTCCCCGAGGGCGCCCGCGGGAGCCGCCTCTCAGCCGCGCTCTGCCGCTTACCTATGGCAAAGCCGAGCCCGCCGTTGGGGGCGATCAGTCCGTAGATGTTTTTTGCCAGAGGGACCTTTGGGAGGAGAGAGGGAACACGGGGATGAGGGCAGAAGGGTGGCCCGAGCTGCAGCAAGCCCTTTGAGGTGTAGCAGATCTGTGAGGCCTGGAGCAACCCCTGGGCATCAGTTTTGGATCAACCTCATGGCGTGATTAGCAGGTGCAAGGAGAGACGTTTCCCGCCTTCTCCTTTGCAGCCTCCTACGTGCTGCTGTTAGGGGCCTGGGGAGGGACCTCGGAGCACTTTGTTTAGGCTGAATATGTTGACTCTTAAGCCATAAACCCCACAGTGTGTCCTGTGTCGGGTCCTGCAGAGCAGGAAAAAGGAATCCCCAGGGACCCAAACGGCTGCGCGTGAGAGAGGTTCATAAACGCTTTACTCTCCTGTCTCTGCAGAAGACACCGCGTCACCCGCCTGCCCTGCTCGTCCTGGGGTCCTCTCTCCACTTACGCACAGGAGGCTGATTCCCACCACCACCATTCCGACGAGGGAGCAGAGCCACCTGCAGAGTGGGGACAGCGGAGACGTGCACAGCAGCAGCAAGGTAAATGGCACTGAAAACGCAACACCGGGCTGTGCTCACACCTCTGCTTTCTACTTACCTCCCCATTTTGTGAGCCAGAACCCCAAAGAGGTTGGTGCCAACGAGGTAGGATACACTGGCAGGAAGGAAAGCCATCCCTGAGGGAGGAGAAAGGCAGTGTGTAGTCCTCTTACACTCATTTTCTGTATTTCCTCAAGCAAATACAGGAGATTGAGAACGATGCGAGACAACCAGCAGCTAAAGCCAGAACTTCTTGCTCCCTCTGGTTTCATAAGCTCATCCTCCTCCTCTGGCAGAGATCCTTCCTCTTCCACCTTTCTCCCCTTGCCTTCATCTTTTAGCTCACAGAATTGAGGGATAACATTGGTGCTGAATTAAAAACCTTAGGGATCATCATGTAGTCAAAATTAAATATTTGAACTGCCTGCTAATTTACCAGTTGTTTATTTTTAATATACTCTACCAGAGACTATAAATAAAGCTGATTAGCTCTGTTTCGCTAAGACAACTTCCATATTGAGGCACACTAATTTATATTTAATTTTCTTCCCTCTCTTTAACAGCTACAAAACACAGTTAATCTTGAGGATTTAGTCCAAGCTCTTTTGGTTTCTTCCACAACTATGGGAGCAGGCAAACTGAAGCATGTAAATAAAGAAGTCCCTTGAGCTTATGGTGGTTCTTTAGGTTGGTGACTTTGGGTCGTATTGTGTAAACCCAAGCTATTCCCAAATCGTAGCTACCTAAGTAGCAAATGTATCTGGGTTTTCCTTTGTTGTCTGCCATCATCTGATTCCTCTGTCCCTGCATCTGCAGGGGTTTGGCTCTGGTGCCTGCAAAGTCCCATTTCCCTGGGGTTCAGTGGGGAGCAGGGGAGCTCTGAGGGCCTTTCCCAGCCCGTAGGCCCCGGAGCTCTGCGGCGGCTCCGCTGTCCCCTCTGTCCCCTGGGGGAGGCCTGACAGTCCGCGCCGCCCTCGTGCAAAGCGTCACCGCTACCCGAGTGGGGACGCCTGCCTGCTGCTCTCAGCCTTGCTGCTCCCTGCTTGCAGTTCAGTTTGGGAACTAAGTGTGGCCCGGGGCCTCCCCCAGGTCATTCCTCAGCCAATTGGATTTTATAGCAATTAGTTTTATTTTCATAGCAAACACAGCCAATACTATCTCCATATCGCATTTGCCAGGCAGCTGGCAATTAGCATGTGCCATCTTGCCCTCCCTGGGACTCTCTAAATGGCCTTATTTTACTCAAAGCTGCCTGTGCAGAATCCATCTGGCCAGCCGTGATTTCTCCCCTGCACAGCATGATTATCTGCCCTGCAGGGCACAGGATTCAACAGGCCTTGCATGAGGCAGACTTTCTTCCTTCGTTATTGCTGTCGTGGGGAGTCAGATCCTACACAATTTTTGCAATAACAGAGAAAACACATTGTATAGCACCTGCTAAGGACATTTCTGCCGAAATTGGAGCAATACACAGCCTGGGAGCACTCGCTCTGTGCAGGTGACAGTATGTGTTTCCTTTTGGAAATAGAGAAGATGGGACTGGAGAGATCATTTAAGGCCCCTCGCGGTGCCAGAGCAGGACCTGGACAAAGCTGGACGCTGTTGGACAGTCCCACGCGGGTTCGGACTGCGGAGCAAGGCACGTACCTAGCTGCCACTTCGGGGAGCACATGGTTTGCATCATCCAGATGGGCAAGGTGGGTTCGAGCATGGCCACCCCCATGTTAGCAAAGCAGAGGGCTCCTGGCGGGGAGAAAATCGAGAAGTGCCCTAATTCCCCCTTCCTTCCAGCACTGCGGGTGCCACGAGTGAGTGTCCCCAAAGGGTGACCCCCTTACCTGCGGCCACCAGGATGTAGGGGTCCCGCAGCAGGGTGACCACCGGGGTGCCCCTGGTGCTCTGTGTGACAAGAGGGGGCAGCGTGAGGCTCCGCAGCCTCCGCATGCGGGGCCTCCAGGCCTGTTCTGCCCTCATAAGTTTGTACTCACCTCGGGGGAGATCTTGGAGGGCTGCAGTATGCAGAGCTGTAGAGCTGCAGGGAAAAAAACCACTATTGCTTATTTCTTAATCTTTGATCCACATTTCCTTTCAGTAGGAGCCCGTTCACTGACGGAGCCCCCAGGGATACAGTAACTGTGCCAGTGGAACATCATCCAAACGGGCAGGGAGAGAGTTGGGTCCCTGGGCTGCTGCCTCTGAAATTTGCTGCAAAATTCCCATTCGCTTAAGTGGAAGTGGGAGCTGGCGATGGTGTTGGAGCCGCTTTAGCAAGGTGTGAAGTGTGCCAGGATGCAAATGTTCCCTGTCAGGCTGCTAGGGAGCCACAACTGGAGCACAGCAGGAATTAGATGTGGAAAAGAATGCAGGGGAACCTACATTTCACTTTCCAAAGGCTCTTACATGCTTCATAAAAGATGTCTTACATTGGAATCTAGGCAATGATAGTAACTCTGACTATAATTCGGTTAGCTTAATAATAGCTAATTGTACACATTCCCCTCTAAAAATACACATTTCTACTATCTGTAACTTTGGCATTACGCTCTGAAAGCCATCGTGACCTGCAGTCATAATACAGCTATCTGGGAGTGAACAAAACCCACTGTTTACACCAGCAAAGCCTGATTCATATTGTGGCTATGGGAAGAGATTACACACTTCTCCAAGTGTGCTTTTTCAAAGACTATACAGTTCAAAGAGCTTTAGTGAACATGCTACTCAACCTTATTTAAAGCAATCAGGGCGTTTATTAAGTAATGAGGGACTTATTCCCAGTATGTTGTTGTGTCATGCCTCTGGTGTTAGAAAAAAATATATTTTATCAATAACAGAGTAACTGATAATGATGATATCACCCGCTTCATATTAATCTGCCTCTTCCTTCACACGAGCCCTGAGATTGTTTCTCAGATAGACATATTTAAATCTTTTCATAAGCATTTTTTTTTTCTGTTGGATTAGACCATTTGGCTCCTTACCTCCGTCCAGCACGGCTAAGAATGCCAGAATCAGAAAGGGAGATGATTTCCCAACGAATTCGTACATCACGCTTCCAAAGGGGGCCCCGACTGCAAGGGAGAGAAGAGCTTCGTCACAGAACAGCGGTGCTAGACACCTGCCACCAACACCCAGACTGCAGGCATTGATATCCTGGCGTCCTGCGGGAGCTTTTTGAAACCCCTGGTTGCACATCATGCTGAATCATAGCCAGGCAGCTGCCTGTGGAGTGGTGGCCCCAGGAGAAGGTGTCAGCAGCAGCAGGATGAGGCTATGGAGCGTGAGCTGAGCATATGGAAAGCAGTAAGTCGTGGCCCGCAAGGAACTGGAGATGTCCCTGATGTTAATCCCCTTGAGAAAAACATTTACTTACTCAGCACACCTAAGGCCAAGCCTCCCAGGGCGATGCCCATCGCGTTGCCTCTCTCCAAGTCATCCTTATACACGCTGGCCAGCATGCCCAAGCCTGGGAGCAGATCCAAAGCAGAGGCTACATGAGCTTGGGGGCACCTCTCTGAAACCCTCCCGGGCATTTCTTGTGATTGAAGTGCTTGTGGGCTTCTGTCATTGCTTGTGAAACAACCCTTGAGCCCAGACAAGGGGAGCCAAAGGGACGTTAAAGAGGAGGGCAGAAGTGGAGACTGAATGTGTCACTGTGCAGCGAGCTCAAGCATTTACCTGCAACCGAGGAAAATGATGAACCGATGCCCTGGAGCGCCCGAGAGATGAACAGCAAGGTATAGGTGCCTGAGAAAGCAAACACTGGGAAGAGAAACAGAGCATCAGGTAGAACCACACATGCCGTAGGATTAAACCCTCAGTTACCTCCCTTGGCACCTTGACGCTCACTGGTGGCTGCCAGGAAGGGCAGAGCAGAGGGAAATACTCACTGAGAGTGGAGAGAAACATGATGCTGAAGCCAGTGAACATGGGGATGTGGTATCCTATCCTAGAAAGGGGAAAAAAAGGCATGAACTCAGAGTCCTCAGTGTAGTTGAAGATCTGGATGTTGCTGCTTGGCGTTAGCACCCTCATCTCCGTGGGCATGTCCTGATGTGTCCCATACACATCACCAGTGTGTGTACAGTGCACCAGTGTGCATTTAAGTACATTCACGGGGTGTTTGTGTCAGTTGGTGTCTTGTTGTGAGTATGGCTTGTGTGTGGGCCGTGCACTTAAGTTATAGTTGCACCTAAGTTATAATTGTACATGGAAACATGAGTGTCCGCAGCAGGGACGTACCTGAGCGTCCTCTAACCACTGGCACAAGGTAGGTGGGCTGAGCAGGTCTCCGACCTACCTGTTGGTCAGGGGGCCCACAAAGGGGTTCACCACGAGCTGCACGAGAGCCTTGGAGGCAAAGAGCAGCCCCACGCGCACGTTCTCGTTGGCGAGGAACTCGTCGCCCTCCAGGCAGCTGCTCTCCGGGGTTTGGGGCAGGCTGCTCCTTTCTGTCGTGTTCACCTGCTGCCCCGTGTGGTTGAGAGAGTCATCCAGGACCGTCACGGTCACGGTGGTGTTGTCAAAATAGGAGAACAAGGAGGAGAAAGGAGGAGCCCTGGAGGGCAAAGGAGCAGACTCCACGTGGCCTGGGGGAGCAGAGCTCTTAGCACCTTCGTATTCCATTGTATAAAGGAAGGTGGGGACAATAGGTACTAGAAAATAAGGAAAAACAGGATTAATTAGTGTTTTTTCTTGTCAGCTTGGGGGCTTGGTGCACAATTGACCTGAGTGGTACTGGCTAGAAGTAGGTGTCCTGGCACCCCTCTGCTGCCAACCCTCCTCAGGGCTCCCGCGGGAACATCCCGCCGGCCCGAGTGGCTTCCCACGCTGCAGGGAGAAGGGAAGGGCCCGTACCCACGGCCGTGAGCAGCATGTTATCCAGCAGCAGCGCCACGAACACCACCACGAGCACCAGCGCCCGCGACTCCCTGCGCGCCCGCAGCCAGCGCCACGGCACCTCCTGCGCGGGCATCCTGGCAACGTCCAGTCCCTCGGCGCTCCCTCCTGCTTAGGGCTGACTGTCTCCTGCAACCTTGAAAGAACACAGTCTGCAGAGATGTCCAGCGGCAAACACAGACAACAGGAATCTCTCCGTTTCCCGCACCCTTTTTTTGTCTTTAGTGAGCTTTGTGTCTTATGTCAAGGCTCTTTTCTCAGGGTAGGAGAGCAGGGGAAGCCGGGAAACTCAGCGCACGATCCCAAAGTCTTTTTGTGAGTTATGACCTCCCACAGCCCGGGCTTCTCCCTTGGGAAGGCAGCTCTTCAGGTTGGTTTGCAGCCGAAGAGAGTAGTAGTTTTGTCAGCCTGCATTTGAAAATGTAGTCAGGAGATGGAGGGCTCTGTAAGCCCTTTCCAGTCTCCTGAGACATCTTGTCCCTACTTCCAGGCATCATTTTAAGTCTTCCTACAAGGACTCAAAGCACAAATCAAGCTAGTAGCTTATCTATAGTGATCCCTAGATCTGTTATTCCATGTTTGTTGTTTGGAGATTAAATTAGGTCTTAAAGGAAATTCATTTACTTTACATGTCTTTTCATTTGACCTAATGGAAATGTCATGGCCAGATACAGAACTTTAAAGCCTAACGTATGTGATTAAGATAAAGGGGGACTAAGAGTAAGATTTCTTGTTAAGTTGCATTGAAAATATCAGTCACAAATTTGTGAAATTAGCCCTTTATGTTCTAACAGCCCATAGGTACCCCAGAGACTGGGGCAAGATGAAAGAAGCTGAGTCCAAACAGTCGCTTTTTCCTGTTCTCCTGTGGTTTTCCGAAATCCTTAGGTGATGATATTCATAAAAACCAAACACACAAAAAACCCCACAACCTTCCCAAGCCCCTTATCCTCTAACATGAGTGCCATGGAAGTCACTGAGCTGGGAAACGGGGACGGCTTCCCACTGTACCACCAAGAGCCAGCCAAGACATTGCAAATAATGTAACTGATGCAAGAGGATCTATATAAAGACATATGTGTAAAGCTGCAAGTTGCATCAGAGAGATGGGGACAAAAGAGAAAACAGTGTGTAAAATGAAGAGAGTAGATGAATGTCCTGTTTAAATCTCAAGCCGTGCTGTCCCCCGTCCCAATGCAAACCTGTTGCACAGCACAGAGCAAAATGATCTCTTACCCTGGAGCTCATCTTGGGGCGAGGAGCCGGCGACTGCTGCGGTGGCTGTGGCAGTGTGGGCTGAACCGGCTGCTGCCAGAGGATTTATTATTCCCTTTTATCAGAAGAGGATATGAATGTCTCTCTTGCACGGAGATTTAATTGGAACCTCAAACAAGTCTCGCTTGGCCCGGCAGCTCCCCGTGCGTCAGCAGCAGGACGGTGGGAGGATGCAGCGCTTATCTGCACCCGCTCCCCAGGCTTTTATCAACACATCTTCCTCCAAGCACCGTAACTCTTGCCTGTGTCTCCCCATGCTCAGCGCTCTTCAGTCCTCTCCCGCGTGGTTTGCAGGTCTGCTCGACCACAGCGGCTGGGCATTTATGAGGAACAATCAATTGGCACGGCCACTCTCTTGAAAACCAGTGAAAATACCCAATACCCTGTGGTGTGTGTGTCTGGCAACTTGGGTCTCAACTTTTTGCGTCCTGCACACAGCATATGGAGAAGAACGTTCTTGCAGGCCCAGGTGGCAGGCGCTTGCATGCGTTCCTGCACGTACCGATGCAATGGCCTACGTGACAGGACCATCACCGACCCTGCTTTTCCTCTGACAAGATCCTGCCGCGGAGTCGGGGAGCTGGTTTAGCGCTTAGGAAACAGACCCAAGTGAAGCTAGGTGGTGCCACCTAGCCGCTATTCCTGGCCTGTTCCATGGGTGCTCCCGGCTGGCGGGTGGCAGAGCTAATGAGGCTTCATTAATCAAAAGCATCTCAGGGAGATGCTGGCTGTGCTGGCAGGGGAGCACGCTGCTAAGGCGAGCAGGGAGCTGCTCCGTGTGCTGCATTTGGAGAGCATCGCGGCAGCCTTGCCTCGAGCAGAGCAGTTCCTGCCCGGGCACGGGGACACCTTAACCAAATCCCAGCACGGATGAGCTCGCTCTGCACAGCCGGATCCCGCTGCCTATACAAGCGAGGCATCCCACAGAGGCCGTAGAGCAGGGCAGGGAATGGGTTAATGCTCAGCTGCCGAGCGGCTTGGAAAGCTGCTCCTTCCCCGTCTTGGGTAGGTGGCCAGCAAGGCGTTTCTCGAAAGCTCCAGAGCTGCATCTCGAGGAAACTTGGCTCCTGCAAGAGGTGGCTGACGTCTCTTTGAGTAGAGAAGCCCTTTGGCTGGCAGAGCAATCCCAGCTAGAAAGCGGTGGACGGGATTTCCTCGCTCCCGAGACTGCGCTGTGTCCCAGCAGGTCGGAGCTGGCCTTGTCCTGCAACGTTTTCCTCTTGACCTGAGATGGGAGACATGCACAGAGCCACTGGCTTGTCAGAATGAGAGTTTTGCGGGGTAGGAAGAGGAGGGGTTTTAAGGCAGCCTAAGTACTATGCTGCAAAGGCATCTTGATTTCATGCTTAATATTTTCCTCTGTTAGTTAATTGCTGAAGTGAGATTAGCTAGGGATTAAATTTAAAGAAAGAATGTTTTTTTTTTTTTTTTAAAAAAAAGACAGTTTATTGGAAGTACTTGTATTTATTCATGATGCAAAACTTGCTAATGTGACGTTGAGCAGTCTCTCTTTGATCCTGTACCCACCTCAACTGAAGGAAAGAATGTCTGGAAACAGTGTTTTGTCTGACACTTTTAGAAAGAAAGACATTAGAAGATTTGCACAAACCTTTAGTGGGATCTATTTTTCTCCTTTTTCTCCTCTTGACTTGAAAGCAATTTGTAGTGAAAAGTAAATGCCTTTTTTGTACTATTTATCTTGGGACACGGGAGAATAACTTGTTTGTCATCACATACCTGAGCTGTGCCTCGATGCCTGCACAGTGAATATAGGCATATTTCATTCAAAGATCAACCAACTGATTCTCGCACACTGACTTGCCACCCTGCTTGGCATTCAAGATCCGTGAATCCCACTTGAATATTTCCACTTGAGTATTTCCACCCTGCGCTGAGGGTGGAAAACAACGAGGTGTCCCCCGAGGAGGCTGCTCAGGGCCGCGAGGCCGCGCACAGCAGCCGCCCCACGGGGTGCATGAGGAGCCAGAGACAGCCGTCTCGGTGGAGAGGATTGAGCCCTTCGCTGCTGCTGTGCTGGGAGCAGCTACAGGACTGGGAGCAGCTGGTGGGAAGGGCCTGGAGATTCCTGTCGATCCTTTCATTGGAAGGTGAAGAGAAAAGGAAAGGGAAAAGGGGAAAGGAAAAAGGAGAAGGAGAAGGAGAAGGAGAAGGAGAAGAAAAAAAAAAAAAAAAAAAAAAAAAAAAAAAGAAGAAGAAAAAGTGATTTTTTTTCTCTTTCCGCCCGCCCACGGCTCCTTCCGCCCCCGCCCGCCGCGGCTGCGCGGCGCCGCCCGGGCCTGGCGGGGGGGAACGGGGCCTAGCACCGGGCCTAGCACCGGCACCGGGCCTAGCACCGGGCCTAGCACCGGGCCTAGCACCGGCACCGGGCCGGGGCTGCGCCGAGCTGCGCGGCGGCACCAGGTGCGGGGGGACGCGGGGGGACCGGGTGCAATGGAGGGGGGACGGGGGTGCAATGTGGAGGGCGCACAGGGTGCAGTGGGGGTGCACGGGGTGCAGTGGGGGGGTGCGCGGGATGCAGGAGCTGCATTGCGGGGTGCAGGGGGTGCACGGGGTGCGGGGGGCTGCATTGCGGGGTGCACGGGGTGCGGAGGCCGCATGGCGCGGTGCACGGGCCTGCACGGGCGCGTGGAGCCGCATGCGGCTGCCCCGGTGCCCGCGGCACACGTGGGGTCCCCGCGCGGCGCCCGCCACCCACGCGGCGCCGCCTCCCGTCCCGTCCCGTCCCGTCCCGCAGGCCTCCCGCCCGCCGCCACCCTGGCGCTGCGCGGCCCCTGCGGCCCCTTCCTCTCGCCCAACGAGGATGACTTCGTGGGCCGCATCGCGGCCGAGCTGGAGCAGTTCGCACTGCGGGGCCAGCAGCGCAGGTGAGCACCCTGCACCCCCCGGGGCTCCCCAGGGCCCCCCGGGGCTCCCCTGCACCCCCCGGGGCTCCCTGCACCCCCCGGGGCTCTCCAGCGCCCCCCAGGGCCCCTAAGGGCTCCCCTGCACCCCCCGGGGCTCCCCACACCCCCCGGGGCTCCCCAGTGCCCCCCTGGGGCTCCCAGTGCCCCCCGGGGCTCCCCTGCACCCCCCGGGGCTCTCCAGCGCCCCCCAGGGCCCCTAAGGGCTCCCCTGCACCCCCCGGGGCTCCCCAGGGCCGCCAGGGGCTCCCCAGCGCCCCCCAGGGCTCCCCAGGGCCCCTAAGGGCTCCCCGCACCCGCCGGGGCTTCCCGCACCCCCCGGGGCTCCCAGTGCCCCTCAGGGCTCCCTAGCTCCCCGTGGGGCTCCCCTGCACCCCCTAGGGCTCCCTGGCACTCCCCGGGGCTCCCCTTCACCCCTAGGGCTCCCCACACCACGGGGCCCCTCCTTGTCTTGCACTCCCGCTGCCCCTGTTTCTGTGGGTGACCCAGAGCTCATCCCTGCTTTAGGAACTCGTGAAATGGGCTAAAACAGCAGGCGAGACAGGCCAGGCAGAGCTTAGTTACTCGGCCCCCTTCCAGGGAGCTCAAATATTTACTTTATTACTTTGATTCTCTTAAACGCGGAGGGGAAGCCTCAGCGTCGCTTTAAAATGCGTCTGTGCGGAGGCGGCGCGTCTGCCCTGGGGGCGTATGGCCGCCGGCTTTGGGGTCCCGGTGGGCGCCCCGCCGCTCGCGCTGCCCCCGGGCGCTCTCTCCTGCAGGGTGCTCCTGTTCCCGCCGCTCTCCAGCCGCCTCCGCTACCTGATCCACCGCACCGTAGAGGACGCGGACACGCTGAGCAGCTTCTCGGTGGGCGAAGGATGGAGGAGGAGGACGGTCATCTGTCACTCGGCCATAAGGTACAGAGCAACCGCGTCACGCTCCTCCTGAGGGGGAGGTTGCAAAAGCGCAAGGTGCCCTTGGCCAAAAGGGGCGTCCGCTCCTAGGAGCAGCCTCCACCAAGGACCGGAGGCTCCCTCCTCCTTCCTGTCCGCTGCCCTCTGCCCACCTCGCCCCGGGCCCCGTTTCGCTGCTCCCCTTTTGCACCTCGTCTCCTCTCTTGCTCCTAGGCTGCCCGAGGAGGCCAGCGAGCAAAACGCCCGCGCCGCGCGGCCGCCGCGGCCGCCCCCGGCCCGGGGCTGGGGCGGCCGAGCCCCGGGGCTGCGCGCGGGCGCCGAGGGGCCCGGCGACGCGTCTCGCGCCTGCGTGGGCTCCGGGCGCATCAGGCGGCCGCCGCGCAGGAAGCCGGACAAAGCGCTCTACGTGCCCAAGGCGATGCGCCGGAGAGCGGAGCGGGGCCAGGGCCCGCGCGGTGACGTCTGCCCGGAGGCGCTGGCAGAGCCGGGAGAGCGCGAGGGCAGCGCGGAGGCCGACGCAGCGGCGCTTGGCAAAGAGCAGGACCTGGGAGAAGCTGGAGAAGAGCCTGTTTTGGAGGAGAGCGGGGCTGGGAATGCTGAGCGTCCTGCCTGCTGTGTGGATGCCTCCTTGCCCACCAGCAGCACTGACCTCCAGGGGCAGGAAGGTCCGCATAGAGACTGCTCTGAAGCCCTCGATTCCGGACATGACGAGAGCCCGAGCGGAGCAGAAGAGGAGCCCAAGAGCTGTGACAAGGCCCTGGAGCTGGAAGGTGGCGAGACCGCAGGCCAGCCGCAAGCTGCAGACCAAGGCAGCGGCGCTGGCACCAAGGACATCTCCCCGTCCCGCGGCCGTGGCAGCTGCACCGACATCACCGCAGCGGAGCCTGCAGCGGCCTTGCTGGCACTCAAAGCCCAAGATAAGAGCTGCGCTGACGCCGAGATACCGGCAAGCGGCGAGAACCTGGCAGCGCTGGAGGAGCAGAGCCAGGACCCAAGCGCCAGCGTGTCGGAGCTGTGCCGGAGTCCTTCAGCGCAGGGAGCCCAAGGTCGAGACAGCCCCCGGGTCACCAAACGCGAGCAAACCCTGGGAGCCCAGGAGCCGAGTGCCCCCGATGCTGCCCATGATGAGGAACCATCCACTGCCAACACCCAGAGCCAGGTGGATGCTCCCATGGGGAGAACGGGATCTGAGCGGGAAGAGGCGGACGAGGAGCGCTCGGGCTTGGCCGACATGCTGTGGCACGAGCTCCGGGTGTCTGCGGACGACAACGCGGAGGAGAGCCCGGCCGGGCGCGAGCAGGAGGATGGCTTTGAGGACGACTGCACCGTGGAGCTCTTGGAAGAGGTAGTGCTTCCCCACAGCCCTCCTCGAGGGAACGGCTTTGTGGGAAAAGAGGAATTGGCCCGAAAAATTCAGGCTGTGGGAGGAGAGTCTCGGCCTGGCCGAACCCAGTGCCCGGAGCGTGGCACAGGAGGGGCCGGAGTGGGACCTGGGTCTCTCTCTGAACTGAGTTCTTGCTCAGTCTGTTGTCTTTGCAGGGTAACCCCCCCTCCACGCTTGGCCTGAATGGGAACCAGGTTGATGCTCAGAGGGCGCAGGGTGGTGGGCGCAGAACTCACGGCTCCCAGGGTTGCAGCCTTTCCCCCGCGCAGCTCCCGGGCTCGTTTCCATAATGCTCTGCTTGCACAGGATCAGGTGTCCCTGCCCATGCGCTTCTGCAGTGTTCAGAACAAGAGCTTTTATAAACCCTCATGTTTCTTAATCTTCCCAGATTGCAGCTCATTTAACTGTGAAGGACATAAGCGTGGAGAAGATCAGTTTTGATTATTGCAGTTACGGAGACGCGCAGCTCAGCGAAAGCGACTTCAGCCACGTAGTAGAAATCTACGACTTCTCCCCAGCGCTGAAAACGGAGAACCTGATGGAAATATTCTCTGACTTCCAGTAAGTGCCTCTCTGAGCCCAAGCACATTGGGAAAGCGAGCAGTATGTGGGCTCGAATGCCCCACAGGAACCATTTTGAACAGTTGCTGAAAGAAGCCGATGATCAATTCTGTGATCGTCAATGATCAAGTCAATTTTATTTATTTTCTATCCTGCAGGAAAATGTTAAAATTCCCTGCTCCCAAGCTCAGATTTGCCACTGGTGGGTTATCAGATTTTTACTTTTTTCCCCCACGGAGGATTCTCAGTCTGAAGCTTTGTGAACAGCTCCTGTAAATCACTTGCTTATCTGAGCAATCAGGAAATGCTTGTACAGCACTGTGTAAATGATAACAGCACTTCTGTATTCCAAGCCAGACCCTGAAAGTGAGGTTTGACTTTGGCTAAGAGTTTCTGAAGAGGAAAAACAGCTCTTGAGGGCAGCTGATAGGAGGATCACAGATTATGACTTTGAAAAGGGCACATTTAACTTCTGTTTCTTTCCTTCTCTTTCTCCTCATGTGAAAGGGGGGTAACGCAGGGAAAAGTACTAATCGTCTAGGTGGCTTATGGGTCTTACTGTGTGACCTTTTCCTCCTGATAAATACTGTTCTCTCCTCCTTTTAGGGAGAGTGGGTTCAAAATCCAGTGGGTTGATGACACACATGCCCTGGGCATCTTCTGCAGCGTGACAGCAGGTAGGGAGCCCTGGCAGGGGCTGCACGCGCTTCGAACCTGAAGTCCTTTTAAGACCTGCAAAGCTGGAATTGCCGCGTGCAAGCTCTGCTTGGCCAGAACAGCAGGATTTTAGTTGGCGTGGGTAATAAAGAGGACGCTTTCCATAGGAGGAGCCACTCGGACTTAGGCTGCCTGCTTAGAAATTAATCTGTATTTTGCTTCTGTGTAATGAAACGAGCATACAGCAAATAACGTGGGTGCTTGTGGCCTCTCAGGGATGCCACGTCCTGAGCTTCTCAGCATGACGGAGTGGCTCAGACCAGAGCATTCCCAAAGGAACTTTGTGCAGCAGTGTGCGAGTGCACAGAGGCTGGAAGCACATGCTCTATTCTGCATCCTTGGTCCAATAATGTGTAATTTTAAAAGCTTGTTTCTGTTCTACTGTTCTACTGTTTTCCTGTGCGAGGAATGCATGATCTAACCCTGAGGTGACCAGACTGAATTAATTTGTTTTAGTACTGATTAGCTGATTAAGCTCAATTTATTTAGTGCTGTGTCTCCTGTACTGATTTTCAGATGGTTAAAGCCACCATAGCCACGCCTGTTAACTTCAACAATCTTTGTTCTTTAAAGCATGTCAAGCCCTGGGGCGAAGATACCCTTCTCTAAAGATCCGACCATTGATCCATGGGACCAGGCAGTCTAAAATTAAGGCCCTTCAGCGACCAAGTAAGAGAACTGTTCTTTTTTTTTCCCTCTTTTTCCTCCTCTCTATTTTCCCTATTTTCAGTATCCCAAGCAGTTATAGTTATTACTAATTAACCAGGCAAATAGATATTAAGGAGCACTATTACTTCATTTTAAATAGCTTTATTAGCACTGCAGAACAGTGAGCTGTTGTGATTTGTGCAGTTCAAGAGGAGCCTGCTGGTGCCTTTCTTTTCCAAGGGTAGGTTCAGCCACCACATAGCAGCAGTATGTTGGAACAGACTTATCAGTGATGTTGGATTCTGCTCTGACAACAAGAAATAATTCTTTGCAGCAAGAAAAAATGGTTTGCAGCAGGCAGGAGTGCCTGGTGTAGGTGAATCTGATGACAAACAGAGTTGGAGGGTGAGATTACATTATAGATTACTCGGGTTTGTTATGAAACTTTCTTGTGTAAAGTCTAAGTGAGCAGCTGTGGTGTTTGAAAACCACAGCCCTGAGTGAAGGCAGAGGCACCTCAAAGGCCATACACCCCCCAGCAAAAGTTCCTCTGCTCTGTTGCTCCGCACTGATAATGGATGAGACACCATCAGCAGCAGTAGCATTTGGTGGCTGGTATGGTTTGCATTCAGTATGAGATGAAGGAAGAAACCAACTGTTAAGCTTAGCCATTAACATTGTTTTATTTCTTTTATTACCTTTAAAAATCATACTGTAATCAGTTATACGTGCCACAGTAAAGAAATGCCATGAGTCTTGTAGCAGTAGAGACTTTGCTAAACATGCAACGATACTGTTCTTTCTACAGTACCTTGCAGTTGAGACAGATTTCAGTATTAATGTTTGAAAGGGACACTGTCACAGTTAGAATTTCCTGAGTTTTTAAGATTGCTAGGTTTGAATGGAATGTCAAGGAATTGAGGGATTGCTTTTGCACTGCTTCACATCTGTTTTCAGTCAACCTCACTTCCTGATTCTCTTGCTGTAGCCTGCTGGCACGTTCACGAATCAGGGTGCAAACATCTCCTGGGGAAACTTATTTACAAATTTGTCTGAATTCAGTTAAGATAGCACATTTTTCCTAAATACAAATTTGGATCTTAATTAGCTGACAGTGTCTCTTCTTTAAGAGCTTTGTCGAGAAAGATTGGCAGTTTTATTTTCCAAGCTGTGGATGCTTCGAGTTTGTTCCTTTTTCTTTAAGCTGCTGATGGGCTGCCTTTAGTAATAAATCTTCTGAAAAAGCAAGCAAAGCCCACATTGCTAAATGGATAATAAATTTGCAAACAGATGCTGATATATGAGTATATAGTAGCCAAATCCAGCCTGTTTGGGATTTTGTGAAGTTTTGGAAAATGGCTTGCTGCTTGTAAGATGCAGTTGTACCAAGCCAGACGATTACCAGAAAACAGAGGTTATTGGTCACTCCTGGGAAAGGGCTTCCCAAAAGCATGATAGATTTAGCCATTGAGGAGAAAAAGATAAAAAAGCAGATTTTTTTTTCTATTGCTGCTTTTGGGCCCGCACTGAGGTCCCACGGGGCGTGCGGGAAGCCGGGGGCACCGCTGCCTTCGCTGGCTCTCGGAGCCTTGACTTGCTGAGCGGCGCTGAGTGGTTCCAAAGCTGCTCCCATGGGAGCAGATCCCGGCGGGATCGCTCCCGTGCAGCGCGGCAGGACAGCCCTGGAGCTTGTTCCTACCTAAGTACATGTGTAATGTCGCTGCTGCAGAAAGGTTTGGGGGGAAAATGCAATCTGAGCTATACAGAAACCCAAAGTATCTTCAGGGAGGGAGGTGGAGTGAGCTGCTTGTGATTCTAGGCTGCTTTGGTAAAGGAGCTGCGAAAATAGGGCTCAGCCCTGCTGCCTTGCTGGCCTGAGCGAGCTCTAACCTCTTCCTTTCGCCCGCTTTTCCCTAGAGCTCCTGCAGCTGGCCAAGGAGAGACCGCAGACGGACACGGCGGTGGCCAGGAGGCTGGTGACCAGGGCCCTGGGGCTGAAGCACAGGCAGCAACACGGCTTGGGCGGCCCGGAGCCGGAGCCGGAGCTGGAAAACACCGGGCAGGAGGAGGTGCCGGCTGCGGGAGAGCTGTAGGGGAGCAGGGTCTGCTAATAAACTGCATGCACAACAGGGAGTTGCCCCGGGGGGTGTTCGCTTGGGGGTTGAGTGCCGGCATCGCTCCCTGAAGGAGGGAGGGGAAAAAGTTGATGGAGATGTTCAGCGGGAGCGCTGCGCCTCTTGCAGACCGTTACAGAGCTCCAGGTGGCTCTTGCAGAGCCAGGGCTACTTACAAAGAGAAAAATGCTTTAAAAAGGTTGAAAAAATGCACTAGAATAAGGGAGTTGTATGTTGTTGGCCAAAGTTCAGCTGTAAGCGAGAACAGAGTATTGTTTAATGTTTACTTTGTTGTAATGTTTTTGTTAAAGTTTCCCACAAAACTGACTACCATCAAATACAAGCGAATTTCAGGGTTTTCGTTTTCTTATTTGCATACTGATGACGAGCCTGGCTTGCTCTGGTGCACGGGTAGTAAGGAGAGTTGTCATCCACTGATTAGGAAAAGAAAACTAGAACCTGGCAGTTGCTGGATTTGCACAGAGCCTGTGGGAGGAGATGCCGCAAGACGCCTCGTTGCAGCGGCAACGGAGCGTCGGCCGCGTCTCCGACCCCTCTTTTGCTGCACAGTCCTGCATCGTTGAGAACAACGTGGAGTTTTCCAACTTACAGTAGGCTAAAAACCTTTGCAAGATGCTACCATCTGGGCCACTGGATAAATCACAGAAATACTCTGACAGACACGAAAAAAAGGCTTCTGCATTCTTTAAGCCTCACAACATCCCTGTGAGGTAGGTCATGGAGAGAACAAGTTAGACACAGCCAGCTTCAAGCCCCGCCGTAGATTAAAATGGTCAGCTATTTAATTTTAGCTGCTTATACAAGTCTTCTGTAAAGGGAAAATACAACCTTAGTGCCAGGAAAGTGAACAAGGCCCTCAGCTTTCATGGACTAGATGCACACAAATGGCATAAAAAAAATAATTCTGGGTAAAATGGGTCATATTCAAGTATGTGTGTCTGAAACTGTGTAGCAATGTGTGTCCTCAAACAAACAGAGGAGCACACTTAGCACCATTGCAAATGTACCAAGTGTAGAAATCCTTTTGAAGGCGACTTACACAGGTGGTCTGACAGCACGGGTCCCAGTCCCTGATGATGAAAGCCATGAAGCTACCTCTGCAAGGCACCGTGACTGACAAAATGCCTTAACTCTGTTCATCCCTTAAAGAAAAGACAGAGGCAATATCCAGCTTAAAGGTCGTGGTTAGATGTACGTGCAATCTATGGGGTGAATAGCTTACTGTATAAAGGAAATTCACAGTCCAGGGGGCTCCTCACCAGGAGATGTGCTAAGGCTTCTAGATGTTACAGTGCAGCTGCATGGATTGTCTAAGGGCGTTGTAGCTTCGGGGAGCCCTGATGCGCTCCTGGGAACCAGTTCTGCGTGAGCTGCTCCAAGTAAGAGGTTGTGCTGGGAGTGCAGTATCGAATAGAAAAGTTTCACTGCGGTATTAAATTACGTGTTGGACTGTTCTGCTCAGAAGAAGCTGCTCCCATGTTGTTCCTTTCCTGTATTCATCTGCTAAAATGGAGTAATCGCGTGGTAGTATTGAGGAATAGCTGTTTCCAAGAAGCAGTGCCACAAGTGGAGGCGTTTGCATCCACGGTACGTTCAAGCCTGAGTCAAAGAGCTTAAAGACACCAGGAATAAGGCCTTGAAGAAAGTGAATGGTTAAAGACCTATTTAGGTTGCTGGTACCCAAACAAAGCCAAACTTCCTGCAGCCTGGACCTACATGCGGGAATAGAGACGGCGCTGCAAAGGGAAGGAGGGGATCGCTGCGGCGGAGCCTGGGACGGTGAAGAGCTGGAGCCGAGCCTGCCCCAAACTACCTCAGGGCCTGGAGTTACGAGAGACACGTGGTGGTCCGAGCACCTAGAAGTGGAGGGAAGGCATCTTTGGACAATAATTTACCTTGCTAATCTGGCGCTTTGATTGTTTGCTTGATTCTCTTGTTGTGCAGTGGTTAAGGAAATCACGGCGCGGGAAACCTCGCTTCTTTAAATAGTGGGGAGGGAGGCCAGGCCACCCTATCGGGTGGACACCTTGTTATTTGTGAGTCCGCTGAAGTGATCGAACTTCTGTTCCGTCTCCTCGCTGAAGGAGCCGCCTGCGGAGGTGACAGAGGCCGCGTCGGCGACGGCAAAGCCAGCGCGCGGCCCGAGGCGCAGAGCGAGGGGCAGCGGAGCTAATGGGAGCGTTAATTAAAGCCTGGCACGATTGGATCAGCCGGGAGCCTGCAGGACACGGGCTCGCCTGCACACCCTCCTTGATCTCCCACCTAAGCTGCCTTGCTAAAGCTGCTGCATTTACCCGAACAACCCCGTGAAACGGGTTCCTCCTTGGGGCCGTGGTGCCAGGGGGGTCCCGCTACTCTCTGCTTATCCAGGACCCAACCTTTACTTGGGGGAGAGACCATAAAGCCGAACGTGGGGGTTTTGAAGTAGAGGTATTTTGGCTAGTATTTGGTATTAGGCTCAGCTGGAGTGTCAGTGCAGTGCTTGCTCATCCGACTGAAGTGGGTTTGGCCTTCCTGAACTAGGTCCCGCAGCTCTAGTGTGACACATAAGACAAGTATTTTCTTGAGAAAAAGCAACAAGCTAATGAGAAAAAGCAGTGGTTACGTGGACACTTTTTTTTTTCAGGAAAAACACTTCTTGAAGAACTTCAGCCAGTTCTGGAGATGAGTCCTTATGGCTTTAACAGCAGCTGCCTACCTACAACCGACCTAATCATTTCTTTTCCTTAGAGAACAGAAATTCCTCTTCAAAACCCCCAAATGTATTCTCATTTTAAATTGCTCCTGACAATTGACTATTAAAAATCATAGTCTTGGCTTTGAAAACTCTAAGGCAAAGTAACCGAGATAAGATTTAGATATATTTAAGAAAATAATAATAATTCAGCTGTTTTCCCTCCTATCCAAGTAACAGCAGAGGGCTCTTCTCCACTGGCCTGCTTTGCATGTCACTATTCTTGTTTGCTTTTCAAGGAAAAAGAAGCTTTTGGGACTTAAGAGGGCAGTCCCAGCTTGGTAATAACTCCAGTCTGAGGACTCGAGGCTTGGTATCTGCCTGGGCTTACCCCAGATTTGAGGGAAATGGGGCAGTTTGGTCCTTGCACAGGCAGCCGTGGCCCCGGGCGGTCGTTTCTCTTACCTATGTGGCAGTTGTACATCCAGATGCGCTGCCCGTCGTACCGGCACCTGCATTTCATCACGTTGTTCGAGTAGTCGGATTCGGCGACTTCGTAGTTTGGGTTGATGACAACCTTGGGAGTGATGGAGAAACACCATGGGGAGTTACTTACAAGGGGATTGGAGATGCCACTTAGGAGCCTGGTGGACACAGACACGGTGTTTTGCTTACATCAGAATACTTTCTTTTTAGAAAAAAAAAACCACTTTGCAAGTAGGCAGGAGCTACTTGCTTGAAGACGGATCATGAGGATACCTTTCCTCCCCTCAAAAAAACTTCTTTACATTTCACAAGAGAGGAGAGAAGACGAAAACAAATCTCCTTCCCCTCACTCTGCCGTTTAGGAGGCCAGTTTTAGAAGCGCAGCATTCCCCCACTCCTCCCGCTCGCCCAGACTAAGCGCAGTCTTGGCTTCTCAGGCAAACCAGAGCAACGCTGATTAATCCCCAGGTGAAGGCAGCGTTGCTTACAAACAGCTAGAAAGCCTCGGAGCAGCCAAGAGCAGGCTGCTGTGCACGTGTGTAACGGGACACGGGGTGTGTTGTTAGTACTCTCTGCACCTGGATTGCCTAGGACTCTCGTGTGGTTGTTGGCCCTGATTTTGCGCTTGGGGAGGTATGATACCTGCTAACACGTTGCTGGGCTGTTAGGTAATTATTCATCCACTAGGTACCCAGGGGATATAAGCGCTGTATAAGCAGTGGTTTGCGGTACTGTAGGAGATAGGCAAATAAACCAGTTAGGTCCATTCCTGCTGAGCCTAGCAGCTAAGGTAAAAGCAGTGGCAGTGCCTCCTGCCCTCTTTTTGCTCTCTTACCTGGAAGAGGTAATCGCCGGGTGGGGTGTCGGTGATATCGATCCACTGGCAGTCGATGTCGTGCCGATACACGTCCCAGCATCCCACCGTGATGCCTTGTTCACCAAAATTGGCGCATTCGTACTGTTTCTGCACGTCTGAGCAACGAGAGCGACAAGCAGCAAGCGTGAGATTCTCCGTCAGCGGGGCTGGTTGTTTCCCCTTGTGCCTCAGCCCGTGAGAGGCAGAACAAGTTGTGTGTCTCCCATAGCCAGGGAGAAGCTGGAGCGCGACGGGCCTGCCTGCTGCAACACACCGGTTAAATGCGTGGGAAAAGCTGCTGCCTTGCACCTGGGTGCTGCCTTGTGCCTATCCCGGTGCAAGGTTGGAAATTTCTCATTTTATAGGAAATAGAAAATACACCCAGGCTTTCACGGCAGCTCGCAGTGTCTCAGTCCTGTGACCCGCACAGGGACAACCGGGAATTGCCAGCGAACTTACCTGCTTCGCACTCGGTGTCCTCGAGGCAGAAGCTGGCCTTGTGTCCCTCGGCTATCTTGGTCCCGTTGAGGTTCAGGAGGTCGTAGTGGGTGAAAACCTCCATGCTGTGGTAATGCCTGCGGGACACGGCAGGACACAGGGCGTGAAGGACGTGGGCCACCGCTTTGGGTGCCCGGCGGCCACTCAAGCAGCCCCATCCCTCAGAAGTGGCCCCGACATCCCCGCTGCCTTCGTGCTGGCTCCAGCCCGGCTATTTGCTTAGATAACAAGTGCTAAAGCTGCTCCGGGAGAGCGTCTCGCTGCACCTTGGTGTCTTCCAGGACAATATTTCACCTGCTCTTTAACCACAGGTGCAAACCAGCGGAATTCACCCAGATGAGGAACCGGGCTGCAGGAAGAGCAGCGAGTGTGCAGGTCTCTGCTCGAGCCCGTTCTGGGGACGCCCGTGTGCCGGCTCAGCGCACAGAGCTCTGAAGAGAGGCAGCAGAGCCCAGTTCGGAGGCCGTCACTGAAGTGTTTTCAAAGAGGAAAATAACAGAGAGGCAGGACCCGAGTCTCTTCCAGCTGTAAAAATAATCACGGCTTAAAAGCTTCTGACGGCCACTATTGCTGCCCCGCTCCACACGAGTATCCACGGATAAAGGCAGGAAGGAGGGGAGGAATTTCTCCCTCTGGAGAATAGGTTTCTTTCCACCTCCCACTGCCTTTTTCCTAACCAAAAAAATAAATTGCCCCCTGCCAGAAGTTAATCACTTCTCACCCCCTGCAAAGGGTCTTTCCCCTTTTTGCTCTGCTTCCACATCCAAAACCTGCTGAACAGAAGCTCCCACCCATGGGGTGAGTGGTGAGGAGGGAAGTGCCTTTGGCTTTGAAACCGTCTCATTTGGCTGCCTGCGCTGAAAGCTGAGTCTGACTCAGATTCTGAAATATGTCTGAATCATTAGAGGAGGTGTTTACATTCTGATGTTTACAGACTGGAAAGATTGAAGAGGAATTGAGTTCATCCTCCTCCATATAAACAGAATCCATCCTGGAGCGCACAGATGGCTCCTGGCCCCTTCCCAAGCCTCTCCTCGTCTCACCTCACTCGAGCGGTCGCTCCCTGTGCCCTCCTTTTCAACCAGCCGGATAAATCCTTGCGGTGCCACGCGCCCCGCTAGCCCCTTCCCAGCAGGATGGACACGTAACAGGTCCTGCGATTCCTGCTCCCGTTAATGCACCGTTTCCTACTTGTTCTCATTTTTCTGAGTTACGGCTCAGCTTGCATGGACTGCAGCAGGGCCAAGCAGAGCGGGCTGCAAGGCTGGCGCATGGTGCTGGACTTCCCTGCTCAGCCTGGCACCCTCGGGGACCGCCGGGGTTGAGAATTTCTTGCCCTAGGTGTTTTTGCAAGGTGCAAATCTTCGGGCAGTGGCAAGGCAGGAGCTGCATGCTGTGAGTTACTTAGCTCCCTGTCACCCCAAATTAAAGGAAATCAACACTGCAATAAGCTGTCATTGCAGAGCCAAAGCACCTAGGTGGCTTGTTTCCAGCTCCCCTGGTTTACTTTGGCTGAAGCCGTTAGCTTCCCCCTGAAAAAAATGTATTTTGAGGGTTGACTCTCCAATCTGTCAAGAATAAACACAAAACTCCCAGCTGTCTGGGCTATATGCGGAGCTGAGAAGTGTTTTGGGAAAATGCAGGATGGATGGTGTGTTCCCGATCCCTTCCCCAGGTGAGGGGAGTAGCCCAGACGGCCGTATCGCTCCTGCGCACACAGGGACAACACATCCCGCGTTCATCCATAGAAACACTATGGTTGGAAAAGACCTTCCAGTTCTTTGAGTCCAGCTGTAAGCCCTTCATGCATGCATGCACGCATCCATCCATGCATGCATCCATCCATCCATACATGCATCCATGCATGCATCCAGCCGCCGGTCCCCACCTGTGACAGTCGTGCCAGACCCAGGCGTGGCGGCCGTTCTTGGGGCGGAAATCGGACTGCCCGTTGTTGTGGATCTGGGAGGAGAAGCGCAGCAGGCGCCGGTAGCCCGAGGTGAGGGACGTGTTGACAGCCGAGCTGGCCAGGCAGTTCTCCTCGAGCGCGCACTGCAGCATGAACATGGGCCGGTCCTCCAGGTAGGCCGTCTGCTCCACCAGCTCCGCGTTGAGCACCAGGTCCGGGGCGGCTGCCGGTGGGAAGGGAGGCTTCGCGTGGACTCATGGCCAGCAGAAAACAACACACCCCGAGGGCTTGCCGAGACGGAGCCCCGTCACGCCGCGCGTGGGACGTGTCCACCCCGGTCCTCCCACACACCAGCGGCCAAACGCGTCCGCCAACGGGAACCTGGAGCTACTCACTCTCCGAGCAGGACACGCCGGCGCCAAAGCGGCCACCTCCTCTGGGGCAGGAGACGTCGGCGCCGTCGTGACGGCAGTGCGCCAGCGACATCTCCGTCCCCGAGCACTTGACGCCGCTCATGACCACGCTGTCGGCGCTGACGTCTCCGTGCCAGTACCAGGTTTCCTGGCCGGGAGGGCAGAAAGAGGCACGTCATGCACCAGCAGCGGGCTCCTGGGGGAACATTCCTGCCCGTGCAACTTGTGCTCTTGCTCCAGAGCAGCTGGAGGCACCAGCCCACACTCCCGAGGAAAAGGATCTTGCAAAGGATGCCGGTGCCCAAGTTAACTCTTGCATCCTGCACCGCTCACACGGGACCGTTCTAAATCAGGCGGTGCCGTTAGGTGATGCCCAGCAATTAAACAGGATCTGCCCTGCGGCGAACGACAGGGAAACAGGCTCTGCTGTGTCTGCTATTCCAGGAGGTACCACGCTCAAAAGCGGGACCTGGGCCCTGAATACCTGGGGAATTTGGACCCCTACAAAGCACCAAGGGAGCACACTAACCCCCTGAACAGAGCTGCAGCTGCAAGGGCAGCGAGAAGGGATGGGAAGGAAGAAAGAGAAAATACTCTCACGGGTGTGTGAGTGTGCTTAGTGCCATTTCCAGGAAAAGAAAGCCCATCTGCGCCACCACTTGCATCGCGCGGGGCTGTCTGCAGCCCCGTTCGCAGCGCTCCGCGCGCGCACACAGCCTGCCCTGTTCTGCACAGTGCAGCTTTATGCTCACGGAGCCGGCGCAGCCCGCACACGCATAAGGGCCTTTTCTGTTCCCAAAACCAGCGGCCGGGGCTAAAGGAAAAACCGTCTTGTGTCTCGCTGGGCTCTCGGGGCTGCGCCAAGAGCGCCGGGCGGCTGCAAAGCCGCGCTCGTGGGCCGGGGCTCTCAGCTCTGCCTACGTGGGCGAAGCCGCCGCAGGAACCGCCAAGCCGCTTGTGCGCAGCGGGGTGACCCCCTTGGCCACGCTGGAGCCCCCCGTTCCGCCCGGGGCCTCTCGTGCTTTCGGCGCAGCTCGCTCGGCTGCAAGGGGCTCCCCGGCGGCGCGCACGCGGCACCCACCTGGAAGGCATGGCTGGCGAAGCCCAGGCCCAGCTGCCGACACACCACCATGGCCTCCACGGTGCCCCAGTTCTCGCTGCACACCGTGCCCCAGCGCAGCGTCCCGTTGCGCTCGGCCAGCACCTCCACGCGGCCCTCGTAGGGGTTGCGGCCGCCGCTGAGCCGCAGCTGCGGGGCACAGCACGGGCATCAGCGGCTGCCCCCCAGGCACCCGTCGGTGTCCAAGGTGTCCAAGGCACCCGTTGGCCAAGCAGCGGCCAGGGTCTCGGCTCCCGAGGAGGCTCAAGGCGCTGCTCACCTGGTTCTGGAAGCCCATGGCCGGCACGTTGCATCTCACGGCAGCGTCTTCCTCGTGGTTGCAGCCCTGCGACGCCGTGTTGAACTTGCAGTCCGTGAGCGACTTCTCAAAGCCCGTGCAGTCAATCTCATTCAGATGAATCGGACCCATACCTTGAAGAAAGAACAAACCCCAAGAAAACAGCCCTTAATTTCTGCCTATACTGCTGTGCATACCGTGCATATACTATGCAAGGGAGAACAAATATCTGATAACAGTTTATTAATACCCTGTAGACATCTCATTATCTTCTAGCATTCAAAATGCTTAAAAAAAATCCAATGTTTTCTTGTACAAAACAGAAATTACAAAATTATTAGCATTATTAACTTTACCATTGAGAAATTCTTTCCAGTAGTCTCTGGGACTCAAACACACCAACAACCACGAAAAAGCCAAGTTTCCACTGTTGCATAACTGCAAAGTTGCAGGGATTTTTACATTCTGACCTTCTGGATGGGTCCGCACAGCAGCAACCTGCTCCTGATCAAGGCTGGACATTGAAATGGACAATCCATGTGCGGCCGCGTACGTCAGGCTCCGGCAACCCAAAGCACACAAGGGCTGAGAGCGGCTGCGATGGGTTAAGGCGGAGAGCAGCCTGAGGCGCGTCTCGAACGCGGGGCACGGCGAGCACAGACGCAGGGACGCGCCGGTCTAGAGAAACGTCCCCCTTTCACTGAGATGCCCAGCGTGGGTTTCGGGCTGGTGACGTTTGCCTTGGCGCTTGTGGCTATGGGAGCAAGGCCTGCGAGCCAGGCTGGGGTTTGCTAGGCTGGGGGATGAGCAGTTGCCATTTACCAGGGTTTGGCGTTTCAACCAGCTCCCAAACACAGGAAATCCAAAGGCAAACCAGGCTATAAACTGTCCAAACGGCCCTTGTGTTTATAACAAGCAAAATTAACATTTTGGACTTAAACTGGAGAGAGTTTGAAAATCGGATGCAGACCCTTTTTTGCCAGGAACATTCTAGTAATGCATTACACCACAATGCACATCTAGAAAACGTTTAAACAGGAGAAGTAGAGTGCAGAGGACATGATAACAACCAAGGAACTGCAATAACAGCTGCCTGGGGGGAAGGAAGGGTGAACTCATCATCAAACATCTTCCAGTGAGGACTCAATGGCTGCCCAAGTCCCCCGGTTCGCCTCAAGCCCCTGGACTCAAGCGACTGAAGAGCAGACAACAATTCCCCGGTTCCCCAAAAACCCACCCCAGCAGCAGCGCCAAACCACAAAGGGATTTGGGGAGCGGGACAGGGCACAAGGAAGCCACGAGGCCGCTGCCGTCCTCACCTTGCCCGAGCCTGGCGCCCGTTACGGCCTCCTTGGCGCTCCCGAAGCCCAGCTCGCGGCACACCACGCTGGCCGACACCAGGTTCCAGTTGTCGTCGCACACCGTTCCCCACTCGCCGTTTTTGAGCACCTCGACGCGCCCTTCGCCCGTGTTGGCGCCTCCTTTCAGCCTCACCAGCGGCTGCTGCAAGAGCCCGAGGGAAGCGGCGTTACCGCAGCTGCCCGGAGAGCGCGCGGTGCTAACAGGGCAGGCTCACACCGTGCCAAAATCCATGTGCCCTCTGCAGCAGAGCCATCAGAAACGCAGGGCTGGGCGGCAGGGGCAGCTCCATTCGTTTCTGTTAGGCTATTTCTCCTTTGAGGATGGTTCTGCTGGGGACTGCAGCTGCCCTGCAGGTTTTCTGCACCCGGGCGGTGCCGGGAGCCGTGCCGTGGGCATGGGAACACCGCGCGGATGCGCAGAGCCGGCGCGCTTCCCTCCTGAGGGCCATCCAACGCCTTCAGAAGTGGCCATCCAACGCCTGCACGAAGGCTCCAGGAATTACGTGGCAGCTCGTGCAGCCCAAGATCCGTTGGGATTTACAAGACCTTTCGCCTCCGAGGCCTGAACCCTGCAAGCTCTCGTGTGCAGACAGGACCGGGGTCCGGCCCCGGGACCCCGCTGCTCTCAGCACTTGGGGTGCTACCAGAGCGGTGTCCAAGGGTGCCGCCGGTGCCTTCTCGGGTGCAGGAGAGCCCCGGGTCGCAGCCACAGAGATACAGGGCTGGGGGCTGCAGCCGTCACCCTTAGCACCTTTAACACCCTGCTGAAGACCCCTAAATCTGAGGATTCTTATGCTACTGCGCAGGCCTCTCTTTGCTAGACTAAACAAACAGATTTTTCAGCCTTTCCTGCAGTTTTCCCAGCCTCTGGGGCTGTTTCTTTGGGGCGTTTCTTTGCAGCATGCACAGGAATAGCAGAAGCACCAGCCTATTTCCACCGCCTCTCTGCAGGAGACCCAGCGCAGCCGCGTTTAAGCGACAGCAAAGCAGCAAAGCCCAGGAGTAGCTGGGCGTGCATGAGCAAAACAGCTCAAACAAGTGCGACGAATGGATTTTTGCCCTAAATCCAGGGTTTTTGCCCTAAATGCAGGCTTTGCCTCCCGCCGCTCACCTCCTGCCTGAAGGCTTTTCGGAAGCCGCTGTGGCTGCTGGGGGCGAAGGCCCGGCCGGGCACGCAGCTGACCACGGCGGGCATGCCGTTGTCGCACGTGGCGTTCTTGGCGGCGCCCGCGTCGAGGTGGTTGCCCAGTTTGCAGCTGGAGATGTGCGCCTCGTTGCCGCCGCAGTCCATGGAGTAGGCCCAGTAGTGCTGCTTCCTTCTGCTCGCAAACATCCTGGGGGGAACCGAGAAGGAAAGGTAGTAAAATGCACCAGAGAGCGGTCAAGAGAGGGAAAAATCATCCTTTATGGAGCCAGGTTTCTCAGACTTGAGGCTGGGGTTAAATACAGCTGGGTTTGAGCTTGAGGTTAGGGTCAAATACAACCAGGTTTGAGCTAGAGCTGATGGTGCAGCGTGTGATGGGGAGCAGACACCCCGGGAGGGACGAGCACGGGGCAGGTCCAGCCTGGGCTCCATCTCACGGAGCAGGCAACACGTCCATCCCTGTGGTAGAACCTGTTGGACCCCAGCTGCATCAGGTCGGAGCTGCCGAGGGAAACCAGCAGCAGAAAATAAAGGGGATGGGAAGAGCGGGAATTAAAGAGGAAGGGAAATGGAGGAGGGCGGCGGGCAGGAGGAGACGTCCCGGTCGCGGGGAGCTGCTCGGAGCGGAGCGGCTGCGCGGGGGATGCTGTGCACGGGCCAGCCCTGAGCTCACCCTGCAGAGCTGCCGAGGCAGCAGCAGCTGCTGGAGATCAGCAGCCCTGGGTAAGCTGAGAAGAGCGGCCCGGAAAGACCCACCTCCTGTCCCACGTGAGGGCTGCAGGCAGAAACGCCGCGAAATCCCCTGGAATTTTGAACACAGTGAGCACCCCCGTCACCGACCCGAGTCGAGGGCAGTCGGGCTCAGAGGCATTGGGAAGAGCTTCACAGCTCCACTCGGAACCTGAAGGCTTTGGGCTCGTCAGGGCTGATGGACCTTCACCATATGAGCTCTTAAAGAAGCCCAGGGGCTTGGAGAAGCGTCCAAAGGTTCAGCTGGGCAGCCTTGCTAGGGAAAGGGTGTCCAGATGACTGCAGGACCAGGCAGACACGTTTGTTAGAGGAGAGCAGAAAATAAATCCTTTCACATTTACATTGGGAAAATACATCCACGCCACCCTGGGAGGTGGATGTATGGATGCACGCATGCATCCATGGATGCATCCATCCATGCATCCTATGCTGGCGCTGGGAGAAGCTGCAGGAGCCGCAGAGCTCGGGTGTTCTTGGGGGAAGCACAAGCTGTGGGAAGACCCAAGGAGGCATCAGGTCCCTCTGTGCCTTGGCAGCTCGGGTGAGACCCGCGCTCCTCCCGTCGGCCGAGAGCCCTGAACCCAGCTCCTTGCCCAGCCAAGCGGGGCTTTGCGGGAGGACTCAGCCAGCAGCTCTTCTTATATAAGAGCAGCTTTGAAGAACGAACAAGAGCGTGGAAACAGCTCGGAGCTGCTGCGTTTCCTAACATAAATCGTGCTGTCAAGCGCCGAGTCTAAGTTACGCTCCGGAATAAAGCCCTGGCGCGGGGCCAGCAATGAACTAAGTTGTTTTCTTTCGAGTGAGATCCATCTGCAAACCATTTGGTGCAGCCCCAGATCGGGCACCTCTGTGTGGGAATCCGCCGCATGGAGAGGGGGAACGCGGCTACGGAAGGGGCACGAGAGCCTGGAAGGAGCTCCCCAAACCGCCCCTCTGACCGGGTTTTGGTCAGGAGAGGTGCAAACAAAAGCTCCAACTCCCTTCCCTTCAATAAAATGACATCTTGTCTCATTCCAGCTGGGGAAAATATTCCACACGTTTTCCAGAGTATCTAGGAGCGAGATGAGCGGCTCGAGAGCGAAGGTGGGGAGGCATCGGGACCCTGGAGCCACGCGGGACCCTCCGGCTTCGGCCCTGCGGTCCCGAGCCGGAGACTCCCAGCTGGGCCTCCCTTTTTCCATCTCTCCCTGAACTCTTGTAAAAGACATGACAATTAGCAAGCACCCTTTGATTTAGGGCAGATGGCTCCAGCTGCAGGAGTTAATGCTTTTCTTGGAAACCCCGCAGCTGGAGAGGAAGCAGAAACATCCACTTTGTCTTCCTAGGGGTAATTTATCCTGCCTTCTAGCTCTGGTGCATGGATGGGAATCTCAGAGTCGGGGTTGAGGGAGACGTGCAGCACGGATGGGAGCAAACGCTCCGCTAACGGGTGTCCAGGGCAAGTCATGAGACGGCCTGGTCACTAGTACTAGGTCAGTGCTCATCTCCACGGGACGCCTGAAGGCAGAATTCCCGTTCGGTCGTTTATTTTATATTCTCTGTGCTGCTAAGTGGCTTTCCGCTATTCCAGCCCAAGGACCTCTTCAGTTGATCACAACCTCGCTAATGAGAGGAATGAAACGCAGCCAGTTGGTTGCAAGGGGAGCTTTCTGAAATAGCAATCGCAGGGGCCCAAAGGAGCAGACAGGAAAGCCACAACCCCTCCCTGGAGAATTCAGTTCTACCCCTGACCACTTGATGCTTTTCCACTCCGTAGGTCGCACAGCAAAGGAACAAGACGAATTTCAGCCTAAACCATTTTGCATCTGTTCTCGGATGTTGTTTCTAGGGAAACGTGCAGGAAGAAACACATCTGAGCCGAAGGCTGGTGACAGCAAGCCGAAAAGAAAAAGACTCCTGACTTTTAAGAAACATCAGGAGAGCAGCTTTGGGGTGCGTAAGCTGCACGAACGGCCACGGAGACTCCCTGTGGAGAAGTTCCCTTCACTTTAACGCGGTCTCCAAGCATCGGGTGAAGCAGCAGCTGTGAAGCCCAGCCTGCATGCTGGCGGCCCATTCCAGCCGTGCCTGCAGCGCAGCCCTGGGAGCAGCAGCGTGGACTTGGGACGGGCTTTAGTGCCCCACGTCCTGCAGCTGCGGGCTGAATGTCCCCATCTCCTACTATAGACCTAACCAATATTAAAATTGATACTGCAGTTGTTAAAATCGATACTGTGCTTGATCTTCATGCAGAAGGTGAGGATCAAGCCGTTCCCCCGCCTGCGCAAGGAAATGCTTGACATTTCAAATATTTACACCGGAGGAATATTTGATCCGAAGGAACAAAGCCGTCGATGGAGGCTTTTCTACCTTAAGGTCCCCAGGGTCATTTGACAATTTGCATTTTTGAACAAGGCCCCGAGTGTTCAGAGAAACGCGCCGGCGCCTTACCCAAAGCTCGGCTCTTACTTGTAGACCTTGGCGTTGTATTTCCTCTCGCTCGGAAAGCCGAACATGCCGCAGACGACGCGGGAGTTCTTCATGGTCCAGTGCGTGTCGCAGATCTGCTTCCAGGTGCCCCCTTCCTTCACCTCCACGTAGCCTTCCGTGACGGGCACCCGCTTGCGGTAGGTGGCCAGGATGGCGCGGATCCGTATGTCCTCCACTTGGATGTTCATGTTCTGCAAAGGGAGACACACGCGTGACGGGGCCTGCAAGGGCACCCCGTGATTTTGGAGGTGGGGAGCAGAGATCGGGGCGCTGGGGCCAGGGCTGGACGCAGATAAGAAGCAAGAGCAGCTTTAGCAAAAGTTATGGCAGGGAGGTGAGCAAACCCTTGCAGCTGGTTCGCGTTTTCCCCCTGCAAAAGACGGTGTTTTTCCTCATTTGAAAAGCAGTGTTATTTAACAAGTCACGATGCAGCGGATCTCCTTTGCTGCTGGAATTCATTGCAAGGATTTGAGGCCTGAACGAAGAGCAGCTGGGGTCGCTCGGCCCCGCGAGGGGGCTCGGCGCCCCGGGCATCCCCTGCGGGAGCCGCCGGCGAGTCACGGAGCTCGAATGGATTTCCCATTCGGAGCCTACGTGAGGAGCCTCGCAGGGAGCTGAGCCCAGAGCGAGGGCGGACTGGAAAATATCTGCTGTGGCAAGCAATTACAAAAGAGCTACTGAAAATTTTGTAACTTGCTTCCAAGAGAGCTTTTCTAGGCAAAAGTATATGAAGCCACGTGGTTTCCTCAGCAGTTACATCAGAACAGAGGAATTCTCCCCTCTCCTCCCTCAAATTCAACCCCTTGGAAAAGGGAAAAAAAAAAAAAAAAAACCCGGAGCTTTAAAGACACACGGGCCTCTGCGGAGCATTCCAGGCAACGGCAGGGAACGGTGCTGAAGTCTGGGAGGTGACAGCGGGATTTGCAGAGCCCTGCAGCGGGACGTGGCACGTCCATCCCCGCACACGTCAGCCACACAACCAACAGATCCCACTTGGACGGGGCGCTTGAAATGGCCCTGGAGAGACATGGAGAGCCAGCAGCGAAGGAGGACCCCTGCAACGGCCGCCGGGGAGGCGGCTGAGAGCGGGTGAAACGGCCTGGGTGGCTTTTTCCGCCTGCACCGGCGGGATATATCCACCCCAGGCACGTTTGCCACGTGCTGCTGTGCCACTCAGCCTCTCGGTGCGATGAAACATCTGCATCCTGAGGGCCAGTCTCAACCGTGAAGCTCTCCTGCGTCAGGGAACACCAGCCCCCGCGTCCCCTGCTGCCAGGCCGGGCGCTTGGGCAAGTCCTTTCCACCAGTTCTGACTGCCCTAGGTCGTCCTCATGGGTCGTTTTTACAGAAATTAAATACGGTGCAAGCTTGAACGGAGCTCTCAGAGCCAGCGCGACCCCTCACACACCGCAGGCTCCGGTGCCGAGGTCCCTGACACTTTTCTTCCCCAGAAACACTGATGTGCACACAAAGAAACCTCGCTCCAACCCGGGACTCTGCATGGATCCAACTCTTATGTCCCACTTTTTTCGTCTGCATTTGCCAAGAAAAGAAAATAAGCGAGCAAGCTAGCAAGAAATAAGTTATCATTGCATTCCCTCGTGGGTATTTCAGTGTTCGGATAGTTATAGCAGACCAGCACGCGCTGATATTTTCATGATCTGTCTGAGAACAAAACCCACCCGCATCCACTGCCCTTTCTGCTTGCAGAGGAAAGGGCTAGAGCAGAGTTAGTGATACAGAAACCCAAGGGTTTGCCCTGGCTGCCAACAACCACCGAAACGTCCGTCAGAAGAATTCAAAGGACTGTGGATCTCGGCTTTAGAGGGGATAATTAAAGAAAAAAGGGGTCAAAAATAGGATAACTGTAAAAAAAAAAAAAAAAAAAAAAAAAAAAAAAAGATAACATAGTTTTCCCAAAGAGAAAGGATCCCTAAAAGCTTTCTCCCAATTGCCCTTTACAGCTTGCTCTCACCGCATGGGGACTGTTCAGTAATGCAAATAGAGGCAGGGAAGTTTTACCTTCCAGCACTGAAGTGCGGAGCAGCAGGGTAATGACGAAAACAGACTCCACATAAAGAATCACAAGTAAATAATACATAATAGCTGAAGCAGACTTTTTGTTTAAATTGCCTTCCCCAATAATTTATGGGCATGTGGAGAGAAATGCCTGCGAGCAGCCCTCAGGTCAACAAGAAGAGGTTCCTGTCCTGCTTCACCCTGAACGCGGGCCTGGGTCCCCTAGCTGCAGCTTTGCTGTCTCGGGGGGCGCCTGTTCCTCCAGCCCCCGCCAGCTCCGCGAGGACGTGAGCATGCAAGAAATCCTAAGGATTTTTTCTCCCGCTCAAGTTAAACCTCGCGAGCCTCGGGAGGTGTGGAGAAGCCACAAGGCAAGCCAGAGGAGCAAGCAGGGCATGGGCAGCGGGGAGGAAGACACAGTGGCTCTGCAGGGACATTCAGCGCTCTGGCTCCCACGCCGGCTTCTCCCCGGAGCCACCTGTAAACCGGAGCGGAGCCAAAACAGGTTTGTGGTCTGAGCGCGCCGAGCTGCCGCTCCGTCCCGCGGCTGCCACGCGTCTCCCGGGGGATCCCGACTCATCCCTCCATCCCCGCCCTGTTTGCTCCGGCCTCTCGCTCCTGTTTCTGGGCCCTTTCTGCAACGGGGAGCGACGCTAAGCCCGGCGCACCTCATCTCACCGGGAAGGCTGCTCCTGCAAGGACCGCGCTTCTGCTCAACTCCTAACGTAGCAGATATGTGATTTTGGTTGGGACTGGCAGCATTACCACAATAAAAGATACTGAGAGAGAGAGAGAGGAGAGAAAGACGGAGAGAGAAAGAGTGAGAGAGAGAGGGAAAGAGAGAGAGAGGGAAAGAGAGAGAAGAGAGAGAGGAGAGAGGGAGAGGAGAGGGAGAGGAGAGAGAAAGAGAGAAAGAAGAGAGAGAGAGAAAGGGAGAGACAGAGAGAGAGAGAGAGAGAGAGAAGAGAGAAAGAAAAGGAGAGAGAAAGGGAGAGAGAGAGAGAAGGAGAGAGAAGAGGAGAGAAAGAGAGAGAGGAGACAGAGAGAGAAAGAGAAAGAAAGAGAGAGAAAGAGGGAGAGAAAAAAGAGAGAGAGAGAAAGAAGCATCAGACTATTCTGGGATGGGGCCATATTCTACCCGCTGCTGCTCCTTGGTGCCACAAGCCTCCTCGTGTGCAAGCCCCGCGCTGCATTTCCCTGCTGCCCGCTCCGAAGCGGACACGAAGGGCCCCGCAAGGCAGCCCCACGGCTGGCACTACGAGCCCCACAGATCCCGGCTGGGGCCTGGAAGGGGGTTGGTTTTGAGCTTTCACAAAAGGATTCCCGGCTCCGGAAGCTTTTGCATGGGCCTTGGCTGCTTTTGTTTCCACCCTCTGAAGCAAACGCTTCCCCGTGGCCTCGCAGCTGATTGCAAAACCGGACCCGGCTTCACCTTTGGTCATCTGCTTCGTGCTGGCGGGAGCGCTTGTGTCCACCCCGGAGCGTCGCCGCGACCTGCCAACAGCCCCACGGGTGGCCGAAGCGGAGGGGAGATCCCGCTCCGGGTCCCCCCCGGGCTTCCTCCGCGCCCGGACCGTGGGCTCTGGAGCTGCAGCAACAGGGTCTGCCTTGGTGCAGAGCCTCTCCGGAAAAGATGTCCCCGTTAGGACGTGCCCCCATTAACGTCCCGCGCTCGGAGGTGACATTAGCTAGGGCAGCCCGCAGCGCAGACTGCTCGCGAGCTGAAGATCCCAAGGGACGTCGTGGTGCTTTCGGCTGCCGGCAAAGAAACGCGCACGGAGCCTCCCTCAGCCTGGCACAACCAGAGCCTTTGGGCTGCAGGCTTTGAAGCGAGATTCCTCCGCTCCACACACGCCCCGGGGGGAAGGACAGAAATAGCAGCCCACGCGGGGAGGCTTAACCAGGCCCCGTCTGGCCGCAGTCTAGTCTCAGGTACCTGAGCTATTTGGGAACACCAAATTCGATATATTTAGAGCACGTCCTATTTGAAGCGTGTGTGTGTGTGCATGCACACAGAGGAAGAGGGTGGACAACAAATATTTGGCCAAGGATGTTTTGGAGGATGAGATAAAAGACATAGCTACCGTGTATTTAGTAAGGGAACACGCGAAAAGCAGGAGCTGGTTCCCGGGGCCTTAGGATTTGCTGGCCAAGTGGTTGCAGGTGGGCTCGGGCGGTGTTTGCACAGCGCAAAGTGGCTGCACGCGCCGTTGGGAAGGCAGGGTCCGCATTCCCCGCTCTCGGCATTAAATCATTCCCGTTTCCGAGCTGCTGGCATCCGGCAAAGCCTTAGGAAAACATTCCGGACCGAGCCGCGCTTACGCCGCCGCGCCGGCTCCGTGCGAGCGAGCCTTGGAGCTGCCGCGCCAGCGCCACGCCGGCCCTCGCGGACCGCAGGACGGTCACCCAGCTCCTGCTCTGCGCCTTGGCGGCTTCCCCGCTGCGTCTGCCAATGTGCTGCAGGGTTTGCAGGGGCGAAAGCGCAGCGGGAGCTCCCGTGGGTGCCCACCGAGTGCCCGTCGCTCTGGCTAAGGCAGCAGGTTCCGTTATTGTGCTCACAGAGCTTGAAACCCTGCAGTTCCATATGTGTTTTTAGGAGTTACTGCCTGTCCCTCTCAAGCTCCACAGCAAGGCCAGCAGGCAGAGAGCTTCCCTATTCCCAGATGGGCTCCAAGCCGTCCAAAGCAAGGCCCTGCACTCTCCATCAGCCCTCTAAAAGGCCTCTGTGCCATTACAGCCCCCACGCAAACCAAGCAAAGAGTGCTTTTCTTGCAAACCAAGCAAAGAGTGCTTTTCTTGCTAGAAAAGGTGAGCAGCCTCTGGTGTTTGCACAGCCCCTGGGCAAAAGGGTACGGGCTGACGAAAGGGCTGCCCTGCCACGCGCATTCATCTCCCTCCAAGAACTAATCCTGCGAACAAAGCCCAGGGCTAAAAGCTGCGCTGGCTGCGGAAAATATCAGGCAAAAAAAGGATGGGAGTTTCTTTGCCCTTTAGCAAGAGCCTGATGGATTTCAGACCTGTCCTAACCCCAGTCCTGCTAGGAGAGTTAACCTCCTCCTGCCTGGTTTCGAGCTTCTCCGCTGCTAAGTCATCCCTCAGCCCAGGCTGCAGCCTTCCCTTCTGGCCCTGTCTTGCACAGGGGCGAAATGTTGTCCCTTGTGCCTTGGAAAGGCACAGGGACCGGGACAGAAGTGACGTGACCCTCCAGCTATGAGCGGTGACGGCAAGAGGGCTGGCTGAGCGCGCACGTCTAAGCCAAATGGTTTATGGCGGTGGAAAAAATCCACCCTATACTACTTATCCCCAGCATTTCCAAACTGGGAAACAGAGGTATGTGCATCATCCAGTGAAAATAACCTCTGCTCGAGGGATATCATGTTGCTTTTAAGAGTAGGAACCCTTTGCCTGTCAGATTTTCAGGAAGCAAGGCGAGACTGAGCGAATGGCAATTTGCACAGCCCCTGGGAGCTGCTGAAATGAAGTCAGATGTTTTCATACACCCGCTGCTCTCGGCATTGAATCTTGGCAGCGCTTGAGACTCTAGCACGGAAGGGTCTTTAAGGCTCTTCCCAAGCGATGAACTGAAGGTGCCCTACCTGTCCCCAGCAGTGGGGAGATGGAAGCTCTCTATTTGGGGAATTGTAAGTGCAATGGGGCATCTTGGAAGTGCATTAAGCAGGCTGCCCAAAGCTGACAGCCCCCTGGGCGCCTGCAGAACGAGGCTGCTGCTCCTGCTGCACGTTGCACCCCGACACACCAGCGGGCCCCAACGGCAGCACTTGCTCCCGGGAGTCTTGCTGGCTGTAAAAACCAGCAGGTCCATTCGGGAAGCCTTACGGCTGCTGCTAATCGCTGTGGGAATGTGGCTTTAAAAGGTGCAATTTAGTGGAGAAGCTTTGTGAAGCATTTTAAGCCAGGTCTATTTTGAGTAAGGCCTGGGTTTAAAAGTATTGCAAGGGGAAACTGAAACGTCCCCCTTTGGAAATCTCAGTGGGAGATTAGTACTGGTTTAGCTTCGTCAGATTAATAGCAGAAGCCAGTGGAACTGGTGGAGAGACCTAACCACAGCATTGCTAGTCAGTCAAAAATTCCAGGCCACTCAATCCTTGATCTCATTCCAATGAGAAAACATCAGTCGGACAAGCTGTGGGCTACCCAGGAGCTTCCAAATCCATGATGTTTCCTCTGGTGAATGCAAAGCATGACAGGCACAATTCGCAGGCATGCCGAGAGGGCAAAGACTTCCAGCTCGCTTTCACACGAGCCTTTTGACCCCCCTGTTTTGATGACCCTCCGAGTAACCCCTCTCCTCATCTTGGACTCGAACTATGTCGCACCAGCTGCTAAGGAGATAAGGCAGCATTAGGGACAGGAGGGAAGTTGAGGAAGGGGGGCTGGAAGCATTTGACAGCGAGCTGTGACTGAGAAAATCTCCCCAATGGAATCTGAAAAATGTGCAGCACCTTTAGCCTCAACCCCGCTGCAATGCAACCGAGAGAAAGAAGCTTTCAGCTCCCGTTTACCTTCAAGGACCAGAGGAACAATCTGGGCTTTGTAAAAGTAGAAGCGGTCACCTGGTCCCGTTCGAGGGGTGTAGAAGCCCCAAACAGCAGTGGGGCAAGAAGGGCACGCGCGCTGCCGTGGGGATGCTTCCATCCACATCCCACTCCCCAGAGCTGCCAGGACACGAGGAATCCCGCTTATCCCTCCTTCGCCACGACTGCTGGCGACTCGTGCTGCTGCCATGAGACCTGCTGCAACCTCATGATTCAGCTTGCTCTCCATACGCGAGGTCTGCACACCCCCACGTTGGCCCTGCGTCTCCCAACACGCTCCACTTCTTAGGCCAAGCCCAGTGCTTAGCTAACGGAAAAGCAGAGCCCTCGGAAGCTTTTATGATTAATATCTGCAGCATCCCGGGGTAACGTGTCCCCTGTCTAGACGAAAGCGTCTTTTCTTCCAGCTGAGGACTCGCCGCGGCGGTGGGGAAGGCAGCGCCTGCCAAAGCCATCGCCGCTGTTCCATGAGCTCGCCTCGCACAAGGGCACCATTGACCCTTTGGGATCCCTCTGCAAGGCCTCCCGGCCCTCGTGGGCCAAGAAGAACCAGGTCAAGGCAAGCAAGGCTCTGCTCTCATCCCCTCCACCACATCCTTGCCCTTACAGAGCTCCTCCCAGCACCTCGGAGCGATGAAGAAAATGCAAAGATCCTTCCTAAGCTCCCCGAATAACATTGCTGTCAAGATCCTTTGTGTCAGCTCGCGAACAAAGCCAATGTTCAGCCGTGGAAACCACGCTGTGGTATGCGAGACATCCTGCATTCCCTTTCTGCCTAAATTAAGGCTTGTCCGTGGTTAGTGGAGAGGAACTTCTGGCAAAATTTTAACCCAGGGCAACCACTGAATTTGCACCCTGAAACACCACCGCATCCGAAACAAGGGAGGCTTCAGCCAAGCCACCACAAATACTTTCCACCTGAAAGCCGAAGGCACGAACACGTTTCTTCCTTGGAAGGCTTCATGCACAAGGCCTTTCCCTTCAGCATTGCCCTGGCTCTCGACCCTGCAGCAATCTAGCAAGCCTGGCTGGAAAGCGGCTCCCGCATCTCCAGCGGCTCCCGCATCTCCAGCGGCTCCCGCATCTCCAGCGGCTCCCGCATCTCCTGGCGTTTCCCCAGGAGGCCAAATCTCAGCCTAGCGGTTTGAGCCGCCGCTGCGGAGCCCACGTCCCCTTTGCTCCCTTGCGATGATTCATTTCCAGCTAATCCCCCATTCCCTTGGATATTCTCACTGAGGGATCCCAGCCACTTCGTCATAAACTCTGCAAACGTCTCCTCATATCTTTCCTGTAAATCTATCTGTTTTAGCCATGAGTCACCTCCAAATCCGACCTTCGTTGCTAGCCCCGCGCTGCTCAAATTGCTTCCTGCACCCAAGGGGAGGTGTCTGGGGAAAGAGAAGGCAGTAAATCCATGCTAAAAAAACACCAAAACCACCTAGGTCTTAGGTCCACGAATGCTACATATGTTCTGACCCTCTAAATTCATTCTTCAAAATACTAAATCAGTTTTCAATGGTGAAAAGTGATGCGTTTTCTCCTTACTGATTCCCATCCTGTCAAAAAAAAAAAAACCCTTTACATCTTTACTAGATAAATAACGCTGTGAGAAACTGAAATTCAGATCTGAATTTGCCAGCACCTAAAGGCATTGCAAGGAGTTTGCTTTAACCACAATGTACAGCCGAGATAACTGAGATAATGTCTGCGGTCCTGGGTTGGCAGCCCGCGGTTTTAGTGGCATTTACCTCTATCTGGTTAAGCAGCGAGTTGTCGAACTTGAAGCCGGGGATTCTCTTCTCGCTGCAGACCACGCCGACGTCCTCCGTGTGCTTGCAGTCCGTGACGCCCCAGCCGTTGGACGTGCAGGCTGCCAGGGTGCTCTCCTTGCCAGTGCAGTGCACGTTGTCCATCCAGATCCTCCCTGCGGAGCACACAAAGCAGCACTGAGATGCACGGAGATGCTGAGAACGGGTAGGAAAGCCACGGGGTGGTTGGCCTAATTAATGTGCTCCTCTGCACGGTCTTTTATCCTTTGCATATCCGCAGGATAACATGTCTTTTGGGCATGGAGGGCTGCCTGACCTCCAGATCCATCCCTCCAAGAAAAATGCGAGCTGTTTCCCTTGGCTGCGCCGCTTGTGCTAGCGGTGCCACCACGTGTGGCTGCTTAATGGGGAGCCCTCGCCGGGCTCCCCGAGCAGCAGGGCAGGAATCCCCGGCATCGGGGTCTACCCAGCGCCATCCTGGCGCAGGGATCGCTCCCTCCCGCTAAATCACGCGGCACCGTTTCCCATTCATTTGCAAGTGTCACAGCCTCTCTCTCCTCTACCCCCAGAGCCAAAATCCACAGGCTGGGACAACATTCAGGGTTTCCCGTTTCACTCGAGTCGCCGTTAAGGTCTGCTTGCTCTTTTATGGGCAGTTTTATAGGTGTGAGCACTAACGAGCGGTGCTAAGTAACAGAAAAGCAACACATTTGCTCCCGCTGCAGTGGAATTAATCCGGGTTCCAGCACGCCAGCCTTTAATCGCCAACGAAAAACTCCCGGTAGGCGAACATTTAGCTAAGAGCAGATCAAGCAAGACAATTAAATGCATCTATTGCGCTCAGAAAGAACACGCTCTCGTAGAGCTATGCCACACCAAGCAATAGGGCTTCAATTCTGCCCTGCTGCCTGTAAGAAACATTCAGCTTCCCAAAGCTTTGTTCAACATATAATAGGGTGCAAGATGTGCCGAGGCACAATTTCCAGGGCCGGGAGAGGAAGGGCATCTCTCTGGCGTTTCCTTACCTTCTCCCTTCCCGTACTTGGAGCTCGGGAGCCAGGACACGGCCTCCACGTAGCCCAGCTCCCTGCAGACCACGTGAGCCGCGTGGATGGAGAAGTCGTCGTCGCACACGGTGCCCCACTCGCCGCCGTAGAACACCTCCACGCGGCCCTCGTTGTGCTTCCTCTTCTGCCCCGCCAGGCGCAGCTGGATCTTGGGGACGTTCGCCGGCCGCGGAGGGGCCTCGTACGCCGGCGGGGGCGGCTCGGGGTACCCGGGGAGGTAGGGCCAGTGCTCGTACTGGGCAAAGCCCAGCGCGCTCAGCGAGGCCAGGAGCAGCGCCGGGAGACAGCGGTTGTGGTCAAACCCCAGGAATCCTCCCATTTTCCGTGCTCCCGGAGCCAAGGCCTCTGCTAGCGGCTGCCAGGCCGGGCAGGTAGGTCCCGTGCGGGCGTCCTGCAAGGGAAAGGAGGGATGAGTCAGGCGCGGGAACCTCGCGGGCTGCCTGCCTCTCGCTTCAGCGGGAGACAGAGCTACGCGGCCAGTGCCGCCTGCAAAGACACAGCGCCAGGGGAGAGGTATTTTGTGCAGGGGAAGAACAAATTGAACAAAAAAAAATACCCACAAAAACCATTTGCAAGTTGGGCCGACTTGCCAAATGGTTTTGCCTGGAAAGTCTTTCTTTCTAAGGCGAGACTCCCTGAGTCGCAAGTGTTGGCAGCAGGATTTTCCTGCTGCTCTGGAAATCACTGGTCCAGAGTCTCTTTGGCCAACTGGGGTTCACATCCCACCGGGATAGGGCTGAGCCTTGTTGCTCTCTGGCAAGGGAGCCAAATTTCTTATCTAAACCATGCAAAAGCCAAAGGAAAAGGAGCTGTATTTTAACCTGGGTTTATATGGAAGTCTGTTTTCCCAGGATATTAGGTTCCCAGCCCATGGAGTGGGCAGGTTGCACATGGCAGGGTGAGCAACTGAAGGGTTTCCAAAGGAAGCAATGCCAGAGCGCAGCGGGAAACAGCTCCCCAGCTCTTTAGAGCCCCGTTATTTCCTGGCAGCCACCAAAGGGGAGGTAGGAAGAGATTTGGCTCTGAAAACAGATGTCTACAAGCAAAAACCTGCCGGTATTTTTGCTAAGTCCTGGCTATCCTGAAAAAGCGTCGAGATGACGACACAGACACGTGAAGGCAAGTGAGGTGCATTAAGCAGCTTTGCAAGGTAGGAAAGAGAGGCATCACCCCCCAAATTCATTTGAAATTCAGGAGACACAGCCTCAAAGCCAAGATCCAGATGAGCTCCAGCTCCCCAGAGACGAGGCTGCACGCCACCAACACCAGCAGAACGGGGCCAAATCCCCCCTCTGGGTTTGTTTTGCTTCCGATACTCCAGAAAACTCAATAATAAGCTAAGCAAGGATCCTCTGCGGAAGGAAAGGACCGGCAAAGAGTCGGCAACAGGCAGGTCAGCACCCTTTGCTTATCCCTCCCGTGCCAAGGCAAACACGGAGCCGCGGTGACGCTGCCGTCCGGGCTAGGAGGGGTCTCCCACCACCAAGGCCGAGGACGAGCTGGGAGCACCGCAGCTTTGGGCTGCTCCCGGGGCTTTTCCCAGGTCCTTTTCCATTTTCCTTTTGGGTTCAGCCAAAAGACACAAGGACCTGGGGAAACCACGCGGCAGCAGGATGTAATAGTTAGCAGCGTGCTAATTAACAAAGCAGACTTCAATCACTGTGAGATGCCAGAGCCTCAAAAGCAAAGAAAAACGGTGGGTTGGGCAAGGCGGGAGCCCCACGGTGGCTTTGCTTTCGCTCCCCCGACACTCGGAGACTTTGGGAACGGGGCACGAGCAGGAAAACCAGCATTTCCCACAGAGCTTCCTGAAAAGCGGCGCAGGGAGAAGATTCCTGGAGAGCCCATTGCTTGGCATGGGGAAGCTGGACGGGCAGGAGCTGCTTTAGGAGCCGCTTCGAGCTCGGCCCTGGACCTTCCCCATGGAGAAGGGCCGCTTTGCTGGTCAGCAAATCCTCTCCTCCCTTTGCAGGATTCTCCAGGGATCTCCCCCTTTAGGGGCCTCCACAAAAGGGAGTGGAAAATCTCCACAATTCCCCAGTTTGTGCCCCCTGGACGTGTTTTTTCCCCCAGGTCTCAAAGGTTCACATGCTGAACTGCTAAAGACAAATCTCAGCTTATATTCACAGGGCATTTCACTTATGCCCTTTACTTTAGGGCTCATTCTTCACCTTGTACCCTTCCTTTAACGGCCTCCGGACTCATTGCCGACATCAGCCTGGAAGTGCATGTTGTGGGCGCTCCATTCCAGAGGACAACGCATTAAAAACTGATTCACTAAATCCAATTCAATCCAGGAAAATACTGCAGGTCTGCTGGCTCCATCCCCTGCCTCAGGCTCTGAGATTACTGCCCATCTTTGCATTAACTTGTCATTTAAGGCATGCGCCTGCAAGCTGCTGACTCAGCCCCTGCCCGACTCCCGGCGCAACGATTCAGCTTCCAAATCCGATCGACCTTTTTTCTCTTCAGAGAAGCCACGAGGTGAAAGCAGCGGCACTCACCTCCCCGCATCGAAAGCCTGCTCCTACCAGCACGGATCCCCTTTCTGATTCCACCAATTAAACAGACAATAGATCAGCTCAGACGAGACGCGAGACACCGGCTCTCCAGCTCCGCTCCTTCTCCAGGCAGCAAAAGGAAAGGCTGGAGCAGTTGGTTTGAGCACTTTGTGCCTGCACAGCCAGCAACGCGGTGCTCAGCTTGCGCGACGTGGGCCTTCCTTCCACCCTTCCTTCCTTCCACCCATCCTTCCACCCTTCCTTGTTTTACGTGCAGCTCCCGTGTAGAACACCTAAGTGCTTTGCAGGCGGTTCACACGGTGCCGCACGCGGGAGCATCGCCTGGAACGAGTGTCCCAGGTGGGAATCAGCATTCACCTCTGCAACCTACAGCGGCAGCACGGCTAGGAAAGGACATTAGGAAGGGTTCACTCGGGAGGTGCAAACTTTGAGTCCTCGAAGGGAGCTGAAATGCTGCTGGGGACACCCAAAGCTTAAACCGAGGCTTGTTCGGTAAGCTGTATAGGAGTCAAAGCAGAGAAAGCTCCTAGGAGCTGCTAACTTACTGAAATACGTCCTGCGCGGAACAGCAGGCGGTTGAGAGCATTTGCCAGCTGAGCTGGAGGTAAATGTGCCCTGCTGCAACAGGGCGCTCTGTGAGGAGCAAGGAGAAAGGATGCCCAGGAACTCACACTGCTTGCCTTTACTTGCCAAGGAGATGATAACCGAGAGGAGAAACTGCAAAAGGCTAAAGATGCTAGTTAGGAAAGTAGGGAAACAAAAGCACTTTGAATTTCGTCTGCTACAGTGTTTACTGAAGTTACCCAACCACGGCCCCGCGCATCGTTGTTTGGGCTCCAACCCTGAGAAATACTCTACATATTCTGCGCTCCGAAGTTGTGTGCACGGAGGCTGCAGGTGCTGGCACCAGCACCTCGGTCCGTGTCCGCCTTGGCTGGACGCAGAGGCAGCAGCCGAAGGTTCCTTAGAGCTTCCAAAGCCAAGCCCTGCTCTCCCCCGAGAACTGCCTCAACTGACGTTTGCTGCAGTTTTAGCCCTTGGAGACACTGATTTACCTTAGAAAGATAAAACCTGCCCGTGGCTCAGGTGGACACACGCAGTATCTTCTCTCTGTGCCATAGTTCCGACTCAAATGTATTCAATTTTGGCATAAGAGGCTAATTTGCCTTATCTCCTCTGGTTGCCCAGTGATGAAGAGATAAATAGAGAGGTGAACCATGACAACGCTCAGGCTCCTGGCCAGCACCAGCTGGCTTTTGCACAGCCTTTGTGCTGCGCTCTTAATAGGAAACAGACTTGATTTCCAAATTTACTTCCAAGACAATTAAGCAGAAAAACAAAAGATTTTTTGGCCCTCGGTAGAATTCGGTTCTTGAGTTTACAGCCAGTGGATGTAATTCCGATGAGCACAAGCAGCAGCGGCATCGGGAGCATTGAGATTCGATTTCTCCTCAAGCTCACAAAATCATTTGCGGAATAAAGACCCTACGGAAAGGCACGAACAGCCGACACGCACGGACTAACAGCACCGAGGGGACAACCGGCCATTCTAACCAACCCCTGCCCACGTTATCCCGATGCTCAGTCACATTCCCAGTGCAGTCAGCCAACTCTGGACTCACATTGTTGAAAGGAATCTAGAGGACGTTACTGAGCGGGCACTTCCACGTCTCGGCTTAACCTGCGAGGAACAGCACTTCCAGCAGAACGCCTGTTTTTTCCATTAAATCACCCCGTTGACAAGAGCGGCATTGTCCTCTCCTGAGTCACCAAGGCTCCCTGCAGTTTTGGTGGTTTACCCAAACTCCTAAATTATCCGGAGGATTTTCCCGAAGGCCCCGTCTCTGCAATCCCACCCAGCCGGCGGAGAGCCCCGTATGGGTCTCAATGGGTTAGCAGACAGCTTTGAGCGCCAGCCTGAGCTTTAGCACCTCCTCACTGGAGCGTCAGACTTCACATTAACCAGCCCTTGGGAGGACACATTGAGCATCTCCATGAATGTCCAACCAAGCTCCTGTGACACTGGTTCCTGCAGCAGGACCCCGGCAGCACAGTCCACTAGAGATGTGGTTTCCTCTCTATGTGCTCTACTACTACAGCAACTCAGGCTCATTTTTTATGTTATGTGCTCTACGTGCTCTCCAGCTTCCGACTGAGGAAATTCCACCGCTGTGGGTGGTTCAGTAGAGATGCCATAGATACAGGTACAGATACTGGCAAGTAGAAACCCTAAAGCGAGTTATTTTCAGGTCCTGTTAGGCACACAGTTGAAAGCAAAGCAATGTCATCCTTCTAAGCCGATTATAGGGATGCTAATTAGAACTTATATCTGTGCAGCACAACACTTGTTCGAAGCTAAAGAGCAACAGTTAGTCTGGAAGGTGGTAATTACTTAGAGTTAGAACCGAGTCTGGGCTCGGTTTCATTGCAGAAAGCAGCAGTCCCACACTTCAGCGCCGCCGCTTCTTAGGCAGCCCTAAGCCGAGCACTCCCGTGATCATAGCATGAATGAAAACTGCCGTCGGGCTGGAGGCTGCTTTGCAGAAGCGCAGGGCATCACTTCAGATCCCAGGGAACTGAAGCACCGCAGCAGCAAGCCGTTTCTCCGCCAGGGACAGATCTCTCTCGCACTTTCTGCTGATGGGAAACATCTGCTCGGGAGCCCTTTGCTCTGGAGGAGCACTTCTATGCAGGGAGGATAATTTAAACTGCTGCTGAAGCTTAGCTGGTATCGTCTACACGATGTTTGCTGCAGCTCGCTGGTCTAAATCAAGCCTATGCTGATGAACTCGGAGCAGCCTCAGCTTGCAGGAGCTTGGCGCATCCTTTCTGCCCTGCTGGTACGTGGCTGACGGCGAGCAAAGGGAGAGGAATCCGCACATCCCCGTCACCCCGTCCTGCCAGAACCACATCCCCAGGGAGCAGGGAAAAACACGGGAATCGCCTACTGCCCTCTCAGCCCCAATTATCCCTAAACATATGCTTAGTAACATGCCGATGGGAGAGAAGGAAAGGATGTTGGAAGAGAAGAAGGAAAAAAGCGGGATCAGACTTGGAGCCCTGAAGCAGGAGAGGCTGAGAAAGGCAGCAGCGCTCTCCCCGGCCCCCTTTTCCCGGCAGGAAGAGGCTGCTCCCGGCGGGACCGCGTTTACCTTGGAGCTAGTCAGCGGTCGCAGCGCCGGGGGTGCCCTGGGTCCCGCTGCGCTTCATCCAGCTCCTTCTCCCGGGCCGTGCGAGCGCTCCCCGCGGCGCCGGAGAGAGCCCTGTCCGGGGACACCGCTGCCAGAGGCTGCCGCTTCCCGGCAAATTTCACTGGAGCGGGGCGAGCAAACCCCTCCCTAGAGCCGGCCCCTTCGGCCCGCGCCGGGCTCATATCACGGGCGGCTGTAACCCGAGAGCAGAGCGGGAGCAAAGCGAGAGCAAAGCGAGAGCAAAGCAGGAGCAAAGCGAGCGCAGAGCGAGCGCAAAGCAAGAGCAAAGCGAGAGCAAAGCGAGAGCAAAGCAGGAGCAAAGCGAGCGCAAAGCGAGCCCACAGCCGCGGCTGCTCCCCACAGTCTCACCCGACCACTGTGCAGGATTACATCCCCTCGCCGGGAAAGCGCGCAGGGTTTTAGGCCCCCGGCGCCAGGGCTTGTAACCGCGGCCTCCTCAGGCTCGCGCCTGTGCCTTATGCCCAACTTTGCTGAGCTCCGTGTCCCAGCTATCCGAGCACGTTGCACCCGGCTTAACCCTTCCCCAACCAGCAACTGCCTTTACCTCTCGAAACGCGCGGCTGGAGCGGGTCAAACCAAGGGAGATGCTTAAAAGAATCTCCCCTCTTTCAACCCAAATATAGAGGGGAAAAGAGGGGTAGAAAGAGACAACCCTCTGTCAACTCAGTGTCTTCTTGGCGCTTAAAAGAAGAGGTGTTGCAATGCAAGGCAACGTCCGCAGGTAGATGAAACAGCCTAGCAAAGGCCCTCAGGTCTCAGGCTAAAGCACAAGAACAGAGAAAACCCAGAGCATCTGCAGCGTGAACAGCTAGCAGTGAAAGAGCAACATCGTGCTGGGCTAATTCCAACAGCTCTTTCATCAACATAAATAGTCAGATCAGGCCCCGGTCTGAGAAGAGCATGAAGGTCTGCAATATTTTCAAGAGGGGCTTTGTGCTTTTAACTGTCAATTTTTTCATTTAGGCTTTTATCACATAAAAATTCTGTTTTCTGCAACAGGGAAATTACCAAGGGGAAAAAGAAAGTCTGCAATTCCTTTTGCAGAGAACACCGTGCGATTTTGAGCCCCAAGCCCGTGGTCGCTGCGAGCAGTGGGTCCGGCCGCCCGCTCCAGCTCTCCAGCCCCGGAGAGCTCCACCTGGCGGGTCCAGCTCTCCCGGAGCTGCTCCGGGACGGATGTTGGGAAAAGGGAAGCCGCGTGGAGCAGAGCCCCTTCAGAGCGTCGGGAAGCTGGAGGCAGCTCGGCCGGAGGAAGGAATGTGCGAGTGTCTGCTGGTGAGGGCAGGGAACATGACGGGCTGCGGCAGGAATGCGGCCGCGTGCCCGGGTAGCGGCCGGAGAGGTCGGCCGAGGATACGGGCAGCAAATGCCATGCAGGCTTCCAGCGGATGGGTTGCATAAAGCAAAGCGGAGCTCTGCGGAGCTTCCTGTGAACACGAGCAGCCAGAGGAGAAAAATGCAAAAAAAAAAAAAAAGAAAACCAAGGAACCTTACACTCAATCTTGCATTCTCTGCAGGGGAAAACGCTGCAAAGAGTGGGTTTGCATCATCTCTCACAGTAACAAGGGAGCAGGGAATCCACTTGGCAGTTTAATCATCACCTCGCGGCCCTTTGGGTGCTGTTCTTGCACACCCTCTTTTGGAGAGTGCTGCCCCTCACCAGGCAGGCACAGACCTGCTCCGTCCCTTCGCCCCTTCCCAGCAGGACCCTAAAGAAACAAAGCGGGGATAGGAACGGGACAAAGCTGCGGCCTCGGATGCGGCTGCCGCAGGCGCTGGCTCCCCGGCCGCTCCGCACAACCTGGGTGTTTGCAGGGCCAGTACTCGAGCAGCCCCGGGCTGCAGCCGCTGCGCCCCGGCCGCGCGCACGGCCAGCACGGCCCGGGGCAGAGCCGTCGCCTCGGCCGCGTGCAGCTGCCCGGCACACGCCTCGCCGCGCGCACAAAGCGGGCTGCAGCGGGCGGTCACGCTCCGCGCTCCCCGAAATTAGGCACGCGCTGCTGGGTGCTCTAATCTCCTCCAAGCTGCGGTCCTTTCCAAAAGGGCGGGCTCGTCGCCTGCCCAAGCCTTGTGCTTTCACCTCGTAGACTCTCTGGAGCCACAGGGCCAAGTCTCACCCAGGTCGCCTTGGCCTTTCCGATTCACAAAGCAGACGCGCACCAAGCCGCGGCCGAGGTGGCTCTGCAGAGATGATCTGGGGGGTACCCAAAGAACTGAAGGACCCGGCTGCTCCGGCAAGAGCGTTAGAGACGCGTGGCCGTTGCCACACCAATTGGCCCTGGTGGAAAAACTGCTGCAAGGGCTAATTGGAGGGCTGCATATCTGCTCTTGAACTCCCAGGACAGCTGAAGAAACACCGGAGATGCTGAAGAAGTAGGGCTGGAGATCCCTCAAAGGAGAACCAGAGAATCATAGAAAACACAAGACAGAATCATAGAAAACACATAGCATCACATAGAAAACACAACATAGCATCATAGAGACTCGATATGGGTTTACAGAACACCTTAACACCCACTAGAATTGCTTAGAGTTTTGCCAGAAGAGCTCGGGAGCGACTGTGATCGGATCCCCAAGCCCCACCGCTTCCACGTGCTCCTGTTTGGTCCCTGTGCTCTGCCCCAACCAGACTCGCGCCCTGAGAGCCCCAGCCAAACCCGGAGCACAAAGTTTGCTCCTGTTTCTCGCTGCTTACGCCACAGCAGCTGGTGCTTCTCAAACCCCGGCAACTCGATGAAGAGGAGGCAAATACATCTTTCCTGCAGGCCCATCCTTAACCTTTTAAGGAAGAAGAGGGGGGAAAAAGGCCAGTTAACACTGAAATCCTCCACCTGGAATGCTTCCTGTTTTTCCAGGCACCGCAAGCTCTTTCCATTGCTGTCCATGACAGGGATTGCTCAGAGATCCCCGGTCCCGTGGAGCCCTGAAGGAGGAGGCAGCGGCTGCAAATGGCTTGGACGGAAGATTCCCAAATGCCACCCCAAAGCAGCGAATTCCCCTCTCCGCCTTGGGAGAGATTAGGGCAACAGCTGTTTGAAAGTCTTGGGTGCTGAATCACTGCAACAAGGCGGGGAACGTGTCTTAACAAGGACAAGCTCTACCAGAAACCTCTGCAGAAGCTTCAGCAGTTGGTTCAAGGACAGAGGCTCCGGTTGCTGGTGCAATCTGCAAGAGGACTCAAGCGATGGCAGAGAACATCCAGGTAGAAGACGCATCCCCATCCTTGCAAACAACCCATTTCCTTAACGTCCTCAACCCAGGCCCTGCTTTGGCACCCTAGTTACAGCAGGGGCTTCGGAGCCGGGAGCTTGCAGGAGCCTGGAGAGCTCTGGGTGCCTGTAGGGACCCTCTGTTTGCAACTTGGGCATATTCGGGTGCTGCCTGCTGCTGGAACCTCTTCTACAAGTTCAGGTCCTACAACCCTCCTGCATTGCAGCAATGCAGAGCAGCAGCAGCGCTGCTTAGCCCAGCTCCAAGGACCTTCCCGCCGACCTAAAGAGCACGGAGGACAAGCACGTGAGAAGGTCATTACCGTCCCCCCATTCTTCAGAGCAGGGGAGGGCGACCTGCAGAAGCAGCGCGCTCGGCCGCGGGTCCCCCCGCCACGGGGCGGCTGCCCAGGCAGAGGGACACAGCAGGTCCCCGCGGCTCCTTCCAGCCTTCAATGCGTTTCATGCGTTATTTAGTAGCAACAATGGCAGGAACAATGGGGCACGAAGGGACACGGTGCCCGCGCTCAGGCCCAGCATCAAGTCGCTGCTGCTGGGGACTGTCCCCGTCCCCACGGGCTCCGGGGAAGGGAGAAAACTCTTGTTTCGGCGCGCGGAGCCTCCCCGCGGATGGTGCTCCCAGAGCAGCTTCGCGCCTCCTCCTCTCCCGTTGGGGCATTTTCCCCTAGAGAAACACAGCAAGGAAGAGAAGAGGGATGGGTTTAAGACGTCGTGAAGCCCAAAGCTGCAGTGTCACTTGCCCGTCCAGCCCAGGGCCCTGGGAGGACAAATGCAGGACGCTGGAAAAGCTCTTGCTCTTCCGGCGTGTCCTACCTGGCCTCAACGGAGCCGGGGAAAGGGCAGAGCGAGCAGGGGCAGCAGGAGCAGGGAAATGTTATGCAATAAAAACATTCAAAGTTCATATAAATCCCGCTTTTAATCATGGACAAAATATTTTCAAGTAAAATAACAGTTTTAAATAAAATATAAATTAACAAATCGGAGTGCTCCAAAACAACAAAGGAAGTCACTACTCTAGCAGAAACAAAAGCCTCGACGTATCCCAGTTTTTTCACCTTGTTGGTGCTTCAGGGAGATCTTTTAATGATCAGGAAACAGAAATAAGGATTAAAAAGTGACTTTTGTCACCATATGGATACAGCTTTCAAGACAGAGGTGAAGCTCTCACAAATAAACAAGGCTGATATAAGCAATTTTATGGAAGCACAGCACTGGGTGCAACAGCTTTTTCTTCTACATCACAGTACCTATTTCAGGATATGAAACAGAAAATCTGTCCTAACAGGATGGTTTTTACTGCTTTTGAAAACCCGGTGCTTGCTTTTCTTTAATCTTAGTTTGCCTGAGGACAGTCAGAATTGAGAAGCCAAATACCAAGCGTGGATCAGGAAAAAAAAAAAGAGGAAAAAAAAAAAGAAAGAAAAAAAGAGAAAAAAAAAGTCCTCACTCATCCTAGCTAATAATATTTCACAATCCCACCCAAAGGATGAGAATTTGCACCCATTCTCTTGCCATACATAGCTTAAGCTACTTCATTTACTGGCATCTTCACTCTTCCATCACACACAAAAGTGCATTATTTAAAAAAAATAATAAATTGGCAGATAATGTCTGAGGAGACCAAGCCAAATTGACCCCGTTTTCCCATATTTCCAAAGCCTAGCTGAATTCGCACTTGGGGCGATCTGATTCTTCTGTGATTTAAAGGGAGAAAAAGGAGAAACCCTGAGGCAAAAATGGCTTTTTCTGCAGGCAGTCCAACAGAAGCTCTCCGCTCCGGAGCACCTCATAGGGCTCCCGGGATCTTCTGTGGCGCGAGGCCTTGCTCCATCCATAGGGACGGGGAGGAACCGCTGCGCAACATGCGCCTGTGAATCCTCCTCAGCCGCAGCAGGTAGAGCAGGATGGAGAGCAGCACGATCAGAAAGCAGACAAAGAACAAGTAGTGATTGTAAACAAAGGAGAAGCTTCTCCAGTGGGAGTGACTTCCGCGGAAGTTTTCTTGCTGGATGTCTCTGAAAAGTCAAAGAGAGAGACCTCAGTCACAACGACGTAAATTATCCTTTTTAATCGACCATTTTTAAATTATCAATTATGTGAATTATCAAACAAAAGGCAGCCCATCTTCATGGAACAGGCTTATCGAAAAGTAGCAGAGCCATCTGACATGGACACTTGGATATGGAAACTTTATAAAAAATGAACTAGAAACAACATTTTGTCTCCCTCTGTCTGCCACTGCTTTGCTATCACGGTCTCCCCTTCCTAAAATGCTCATCCCCTCCACTCAAACCCTATTTTGAGGCATTAAAGGAAACAAGTGGTACCTTAAAGGTAAAAAACGTGTTCGGTAAAGAATGGCTCCCAATGTCCATTGCACTTCCTTGTCATAAACCTGCAGAGCTGTTTTCAAATTGCTGTAACTCACAGGAAAAGAGAAGCCACTGTGAAATACTTCATACATCCAGGCAGACTTAAAACACTGGTACCTAGAGAAAAAGTAGCAGAGAGTCAGGCATCTAATTTCTCAGCAGTTACAGAGTCCCAAAGGCCTGTGGAGCACGTTTACATTACATTGTTATCAGTAATTATTTACGGCTGATGCAATATTTAAGGTTATATTCACACTTGCAATGATTTCATTAAATGGATCATTTGGACATGACCTCTCCCTGGCAACTCTGCATGAATGCCTTTGCTCTACAAACGCAAATACTCACTTCAATCTGTGGAGATCAGCGTGCGATGCATAAAGACCACGGTCAAAACGTTCCCGCAAGATGGACCACTTAGTGGCACAATAATCCTTAAAAACAAAACAAAAAAAAAAACACTTCAATGCTGCTTCTGCAATTGGACCGTGAGTCCTGTTCCCTCTTGAGTCAATTCTATTATTGTGTCTTAAAACAAGCATTTTAAAATAAAGCCCAGATGAGGCAGAGATGCCCTGCGCTAACTCTATACAGAGCGAAAGCCATTTTGCTGCAAGAGCAAAACGCTTCTCTGGAGCAGCTTTTTAAGCTAGGAAAAGGGAGTTTTTCTCTCCAGAATATTTACCTTTGCAGCTTTAATAAACTTGGCGGCATCGTAATCTCCTCCCATGCGCAACACATCCTCGGTGCAGTAGTAGAACTCGGAGAAGCCGTAGAACTCGCTGTTTTGGAAGTGCACGGCGGGCTGGTAGACGCCGTTCAGCGACGTCTGCGTTTCGTTGGTCTTGTTCATGAAGGGCTGAATAATTTCGCGGCACAGGTTAAAGTCTCCCGTCCCACGCAAATACATTTTCTGTCCATTTTGCTTAATCTCATCCTGAGCATCCAGGGGCAGGCAAGGATCTAGGTAGGGCGAATCAGAAGTCACACCAACCTGTTTGCCCAGCAGCCTGTATACGAGAGCACGCACAGCTGTAACAACTGCACAGCAGAGGCAGCAAACTGAGATATTACAGCATCACAACAGAAACACACGCTCATTTAAAGAGGTCTCAGCATTTCAGCCTGTAGAAACTGAGCTCTACTCCAAGACTCTTTCCTACATGGATTAGTAGGAGGCGGAGGCTGCTGAGCCTGGCGCTGCACAGAAGCCCCAGCCCGGAGCCACTGCAGCCAGTTACCTGTTCCTGAGCACAGCGCTGGCAAACAGGCTTTCCTCGTATCTCTGGCGTGCTGCATTCCCTCCAAAGCCCAGGAACGTTGCAACGTAGACTCTGTACACGTGCTCCGTTTGGTGAGCATCGCAGCCCAGGTTGAATTCTGCTAGGAGGTTTTTGGCTACCTCCTCCTGTAAAACACAAGTGCTGCGATTAGCTACGAGCAGCACGGACCAGAACCCACGGGCCAGCCCGCTGCACAAGGGGATCCCTTAGGATCTCCACGCATCTCTCCTTACTCATCTATTTTGCTCTTCCCAGGTCCACATGACCTCCTATTTTATAAGGAGAGCAGAGCAGACTACTTGCAGGGACTCTGTCACTGCTATTGACACCCAAGGAACCAAAAAGCCAGGAATTTGAAACCACAACTACTGGCACTGCAGTCTTCCTAGGAAAAAAAGGCTTCTCTGCAGCTGTTATGCTCAGTGGTGCTTCCCAGTGCCACAGGCTGTGAGCAGGCCAGCTCTGCTGGCCAACAATCACTCTGGATTAATTTTCCAGCTCAGAGGCCTCACGATTTTCAGGAGACCTCTGTCAGTCTCGCACCTCTCGTCAGGTTTCATACGTCAGCGGGTTGACGCAGCTCAGAAAGTGTTTTCAGAGACACGCAGCAGTAGCAGCACCTCATGCAGAAGGTGCTCGGGAGAGTAGCAAGACACTGTAGGGCTTCCAAACTCAGGAATTGAGGAACAGGACCATGCAGTGGTTAATGCCCATTCTCCATCGGATTGAAATATCATTTCTCCAGGTTGAAATACCAAATTCTCCAGGTTGAAAATATCATTTTTAAATCAATTTATGCTCAGATAGGGTCACGCAGCAGCCATCATCAACTGCTTGCTACTCCTATTTCCAAACTCATATCTCACATTCACTGTGACAATCCGATTGTTTAATAATAAATAAAAACACTTGGTTATTTTTGATCAGCAGTCCAAAGCATTTGCTATGCCACATGCCTGAAACAGGCAGAGCAGTTATTAAAGCATGCAGCAATGAAAAAGAAATTCTACTTTTGGTCTCTACGCTTCACAGTACTCTTAAGCAAAACAGATACTTAAATAAAATGTATATGCATTTATGTACAAAGAATGCACATTCACAGAAACAAAAAGTGCTGCTAGTTATACAAATTTAACATCAACTTTCTGAAGGAAGAAAATACAAACAAAAAGCTTAGCTGATGAAGGACTCATAATTGTCATCTTCTCTTGCCATGCTGGGATGTGATGTAATGAAGAAAAAGACTCAAAACAATGGGGAAAAAAAAAAGAATGTGTGTTAAAATAAACCAAAAAGAAAAGAAGAAAGTTGCACAGATAATAACCTGCTGTGAAGAGGCAAAGCTTACAGTTTTAGGGACTTCGTATGCTATCTGAGTCGATACTCCGCCCATGTCTAGAATACCCACTGTCCTCTTACGAAAGATGCTCTCCTTGTTCTCGCTGCCTGGCACGTGGACCTCCACAACGGCTTCATCCTCTGCAGGAAACAACGAAAACCCTTTGAGAAAGCTCACGAGGGCGGCCCTAAAGCAGCGCTATCCTCAGAGCACCCTCTAGCTCCCGTAAGAACCAAGATCACAGAGGCTTCCCGTGCAAGCCAGGCTGGGATCAGCACTCACGTGAGCACTAGCACTGAGGGATGCATCTGAAAACACCCCATGGATGCTGAAAGCAGAGCAGGAACAAACCTGAAGTCCCTCCTAAAACCCAGTTCCCATTTGAGATACCTACCATCATCTGTATGCTCAAATCTTCCAAGAACAAAGTTGATGCCAATCCACGCATACACTCCTACGTAGACAGGGGAGAAAGGAAGGTGCATTTCAGAAGCGCCTCCTAAAAACAGGGGGGATGTTTTGCATTTTACTTGCTCTTCCGTACCCACGTGTTGTTTACTGCTAATTAGAAAGCATTTAGACAAGGTAGAAGATTACAAAAGAACCTGGATGCCACCCTGGGCCACATGCTCTAGGTGTCCCTGCTGCAGTAGAGGGGTTGATCTCTAAAGGTCCCTTCCAACCTTAATGATCCAGTGATCTGCACACCCTCTCCTGCCATTGAGGAATAGATCTCTCAACTGAATTCGAGTTTTTAAAAGTAATCAAAAAATTAGTCAAACTGTAGCAGGAAAGAACTTTCTGGTGTTAACCTACCTTCCTGTTTCCCAGAAATAACTTCTGCGTGTGAATCTGAGAACAGAAAATCAAAATGCACGGGGATATCAGTGAGCAGATCCCCCAGTATTGCCTTCTGCTGGCTGCAAAACAACATTTTTGAAGAGTTAGGATTAGTCAGAAACAGCAGGATCACTACTCTAAACGCTAAAAGCGAGGTGAGCGGTAACCTTTCCGGCAGAATCCTCATGCCTGCAGTGCAGAGAATATACAGAGGAGTCTCTTTGTGTTTCGCACGGGGCACGTGCTCAGCAGCAAAGCTCAGAAGTGGGGAGATGTAGTCGCTGACCTTCTCAGGAGAGCTGGCGAACTCGGAAATACCTAGGGAAAAGATAAGCATGAAAGTGAAGCAATTTAGGCCCCAGGTAGTTCCTGCCTGCAAAGTTTGATAACCAACACGTGCAACAGGAACAAACGACCCGAAGCCGAGCACAGGAAGTCAACACCAAAAAAAAAGGGGGGGGGGGGGTTAAAACTAACAGTGATTCATCTTTAAACATTAAACAAGAACTTGTATTACTGTTTTACACAGTCACCTATTTGTACAGTTGGATCAGACAACTTTTTAAAAAACTGATTATTTATTAACATACTAAACAGAATTAAACTGACCCCCAATCTGGCAGTTTTTTACATGCACAAAAATCCCTCTTCCTCCTGTTCGCCTGTTCAGCCCTAAAGCTGAAGAACATTTTGTGCAAGCCAAACACAGAAAAACCCCAGGATGCCGCTCAAGTTTCCTTTATCCAGACATTTTCAACACAGTGTCTGAAAAAACACAGTTGGGAAAGGCAACTATATAGGAAAAAAAACCCTAAGAATCAGTTTCTTTCCCGTACCTGGTTTAATTTTCATAACCACTGGCTTTCTGTCCTTGTCCCTCATCTGTTTGATGTCCAGCAGATCGTGTGGGTTTCCGTTGTGCCGGGGCCAGCAGTACACAAAGATCCTGGAGCCGCTGCTGCCGCAGTCCACAACGATTCCATAGTTCAGGTTGGGGTTGTTTGTGTCCGTAGCTTCAGTATCCGTCACCCGGGCAAGATATCTAGGAGAAAATGTGGCGTTGCTATGTAGTAATTTGAATGCACCATTAGGTTTTTCATAATAACAAATTAAAAACATCCTCATGGGGGGGGATTGCTCAATAACCAGTGTTTTACACTCATGAAGGGTGGGAAGTGCTGCCTGAAAGGACCAAATTCTCAAAAAAACTCTGAAAACCCCTTCCAAAACAGCATCTTACACGCTCACACTGCCCTGCTTTTGTTGTGTTAAGGGACCTGTGCCACCTGCAAACACCTTCACACGGATATGCGGAAGGGAAACCACATCCTTGCTTCCAGGGAGCACATTTTCAACTCTCACCTGTGGAACCTCTTATCCCTGTAAGCGCGTCCATACTTATTGCGGATAACGACCACGGAGTAGTAGAGCAGGGAGACGGCGGCAGCGAGGACTCCAACGACGAGGACCTGGCGCAAAGTGGTGTTGAGAACCCGCGGACACCCCACGGGAGACAGGCTGAAGTGCCAGGACGCAGGGAGCAGGCACGAGATGCTGAGCCTGAAGTTCAAAGAGGACAACTAGGGTTAAAAACGGACTCTAGGAAAATGAATTGCAGAATATTCTTTAAAAATAAAAAAATCATAAAGATAGATTTTCTATTTTTTTTTTTTTTTTACGTCAGGCTGCATTTAGCTGCAAATTCACGACCAGGCCCCGCACAGTCCTCCACGGGCACCACAATTCCACGTCTCGGCGATCTCCCATTCCCGCAATCCCGCGTTCCCGCGTCGCCGCCATCTCCCATTCCCACAAGCCCCGCTCGTCCCGGCCCTCACCTCCCCATGTCGGCCCCGGGCAGCAGCAGCGGGAGGCGGAGAGACCCGCGGGCTCCGGACACGAGCCGGTCACCTGGGCCCAGGGGGACGCGCGCCGCCTCTCACGGCCATCGCGGCTCCGCTCCTGGCGGACGCAAAGGACACAGACAAATGCAAAAAACCGCCATGATCAACATTAAAACCGCTGCTCCTGGGTGTGGCTCCCCCCCTCCCCCGGTAGGGGCCCAGGCGTCCGGCGCTCACCCCGCGCCCCGCCGCCCCGCCGCCGCATAGCAACCAGCCAAGGCGCCGCTTCCGGCGCCCGCTGCCGGAAGTGACGCACGCGCGTAGCCACGACAGCAGCGCCCATTGGCAACGCGTTCCTTGCGAGGGGGCAGGGCCTCGCGGGAGGGGGGCGTGGTCTAGGTGGTGGGCGGGGTCGCGCCGGGAGGAGGCGTGGTCTATGGTGGCGGGCGGGGGAGGGGTGCCAGCGGAGGGGCGTGGCCTCCGGCGGGGCCTGCGCTGAGCCAACATGGCGGGCGGGGCAGGGCGCGGGAGCGCCGTCTCGCGGCGGCCGGTGTCGCGCGGGGCTCCGCGGCCTCTCGTGCCGCCCTCCCGGGGCTCCCCCGGGATTGTAGGCGCAGCCTGGGTGCGAACACCGGTGTAGGGAGACTGGAGAGGGCGCTCGGCTTGTGGAGGGGAAAAGCGCGCACCTCCCGAATAAAGAAGCCGAGGCCCGTGCCGAGCGCGGGGGTTTTGCTCGTGGCCCCCAAGCCCAGTGCGTTACTGGGGGACGGCGACACCCGCGGGGAGCCCCCCGGCGCCAACGGCGGCGGCAACGGGGCTACAAAATGGCGCCTGCGGGCGCCGCGGCGGGGCGGGGGCAGCGCCAGCTGCGCGGCGCTGATTGGAGGGTCAGTGTCGGGGCCGTGCGCTGATTGGCCACGGCGGGAGCCGGGGGTGGAGCCGCCCGTGGCGCGCGGGGGGGATCCCGCCGCCAGGGGGCGGCGCCGCCGCGGGGGAGCCGCCCGGACGCCGGGGCCCCTTCCCCGCGGCGCGGAGGGGGTGGTCACGGAGCCGGGACCCGGGGTTCGGGCGGCGGGGTCCCCGCCATTGTGGGGGCCTCAGGAGCTCAGAGCCCTCGTCCCGGCGGTGTGCGGGAGGCTCGCGAGCCGCACGCCCGGTCCCCGCTGTTTTGGGGCGCCTCGGGAGCGGGACACCAGGCTCCCCTCCCGCCTGGAGGGGTGTCAGCGCGCAGGCAGCCCAGTGCCCTCCAGTTTGGCGGATTCAGCAGCCCAGACACCCAGGTCACCTCCCTTTTGGGCAGGTTCCATGTTCGGGACGCCTGGATCCCCTCCAGTTTGGGGACGTTTCCGGAGCGCGGATGCCCACGGCGCAACGTGCCGCAGGGAGGCTCCTGCCTCAGCCGCCCCTCCGGCACGCGCAGAGATGGGGCACGGGGCCCACAGGACGCACGGGTCACCGGCGAGAGCAGCCGCTGGCGTCAGCGCGCGGGGCCGTGCGCGCGGGGCCGGACTCTGCCCCGGCTGCTGAGCGGGGCCGGGCCCCCCGCGGCCCCCGGCCCGTGATGCCGTGGCTGCCGCCCGCTGAGCCGCAAGTGCCACCAGGGAGCCAGGCGCCCGGCCAGCCCCCTTGGCCTCCGCGGCATCCACGTGCCGGGGTGACCCGGCTGCTCCTGGCGCGGGAGCCCAGCGTCCTGGCCCGACACTGCCCGCTGAGCCGCGCTTCCTGCCAGGGAAACAGGAACCGGCCCTCGTCCAAGGATCCCAGGGTGCCAGGGACTGGCCCTGCTCCAGGGACCGGGGGGGTGCGAGGGAAGGGCCCCAATCCGGGCACCTGGAACCTCGTGTAGGCACCCAGGAGTGGCCCTGAAGCAGCCTTCATCCAGGGATGGGGCACCGGGGATCAGCTTGGTCCAGAAACTGGGAATGCGCGCTGATCTGGGCGCTGAGAAGCAGCCTTCACCCAGGAATGGGGCACCAGAAACTGGGAATGTGCGCTGCTCTGGGCACTGGGAAGCAGCCTTCACATAGGAATTGGGGCACCAGGGAGCGGCCTGATCCAGAAACCGGGAATGTGCGCTGCTCTGGGCGCTGGGAAGCAGCC